ACAATTTCAATTTGATTCACCTCCAACTTGCAGCTTCTTCTTTGTAAATTATTCAGAGTCCATTATGTCTATCATTTCACTCATATTACATGGAACAATTTCTTACATAATTTAAAAAAAATATCATTTCAGAGTGGAATGCAAGCTGTAGTTAATCAAACAGAAGACCAGCTGAGAAGAAAAGTGAAATATTACTTATTCAAGATGAAAAGTCAGAGTCACCTGAATGATATTAATACAATAAGTGACGATAAAGGTCAGAGTCAAGGTCATTTGAGGTCACTGCTGCATCATGAGGAGGTCAAGGCAAATCACTCCTGTACAGGTAGGTTTGTTATCATAGTCACAACAATTAGGATTTAACTCTGTTGAAGAAGTACCTCTAGAGGCTTGCAGAAATTATGATCAACAAATAGACAAATATCTTTTTTTTTTCACTGATTCTTACATTTTCAGAACAACAATATAGGACCTGCGATTTTAATCCAGAGGCCAGTAGCAGAGTGTGTGTTACTAGGCAACATCAGATGTGTGGTAAAATGTCTAGTGAGTTAAAAAGAAAGATTGAAATTGATAAAGAAAATATATGTTATTGGAAGAGGCAGAAAACAACAGGAAGGCAGAAATGTAAGTCTGTTTTAATTTTAATATCATATACAGACTTGTGGTTTAATTTTAATATCATATACAGACTGGTTTAAACATATTTATTTAACCTCAATTATGAAACAAGGTCTTGCAACTTATATTAATCACTTTTGAATCCGCTTCCTGGAACCAGTACTGATGTCATATGAAGAAACATGGTCATGACCGGATTACAGGCTTGACTCCATGATCCCTGGGTTGAGAGGCAAACACCTTTACCGTGAGGCCACCACTCCCCTTATACAGACTGTTGAACAGTATCTTGCTGGAACCAAAGTCATGTGATTAGCATTTATCACCTATTTTAGACCTAGGCCAGCCTGAACGTTCCTATAGTTTTACCGGGCTGTTTACTGTTGGTAAACTACATGTAACACTGACTTTTTATGTTGATATTTCCAAAAGCAATAATCAACAGTTTAAAAAAATTGAAGATGGAAATGTACATTTAAGAAATTAGCATCTTATGGGTTAAAAAGAAAATAGGGAGGTGGGACTTTTTTATAGGCCTCCATTTTATTTCAATACATGTTGCAAAATTGACACACTTATAATCAATATAGAATCTGTTCATCCAACACTTCCTGTGTTGGTGAAAGCATAATTGAATCATTTTTATACAACTATCCTTTAACTTAACAAAGGATAGTTCCAAATTTATAGCAAAAAAGTCCACTTACTTTACCAAATCACCAGGGTAACATTAAAAAATATATGGTCCTTTCTTTGTATAATGAATTTGGACTTTGAACTCCTTTTATAGATTGTTTGTTTCTGGCTTTCACACTGAATTAAACAGATAATTGATCATAGATCATAATCATTTACCTTTCCTAGATAACTAACCTGTAATAACAAGTGGTTGACTACTAATCCCACATGATTTCTGAATCAGCGGTGAAAAACAAGTGATCATTTGTCTCCCTGTTCGAGGTCAGTTGTCATACTGGATTTCTAATCCAATGCTCTACCTGAATTGCGTTAAGCGGTTGGGCCTTTATAGTTTCATATAAGCTCAGAAATTCAGGTACAAAAATGTCAGGATAACCTAAAAGTCTGTGTAAAGTTTTTATAGATTTTATGGCTGTTCTAGTTTTGCCACAGCTCGTTTAGTAGGCTACCTGTAGTTGCATTTACATCATATACATAATAATGACTTCTAACAAAATATATAGGAGAGAAATAACAAATGTATTTGATACTTTATAGCACTTTAAATTACAGTTAAACATGCGTTAAGGACCACCTGTGAATATAGATTGGCCATTGTTCAACAGCCCCTAATTGATCAAAAAGAACATTGTACATTGTAACTCTATATAAAGCTATCCTGTCAATAAGGGCTATGTTCAGTCTCTCCCATGGATGACCTTTATTCAGAGGTTTATCTGTAACATAACTTGTACATTTCTTTTATATTTTGGTGTATGAAGTCAAGCGTGATAGAGCAGCGATGAAGGAAATGACTAGAAATAACCTCACTGATATGTACACCAGCAATGTTTCACAAGAGTTATTTTCCTTGCAAGAGGTAAGATATTTATGAAATTAGTACAGTTATAATGATTTATAAGTATTTGTATGAAAGTCAAATGACAGCTTTGGTAACATTTTGCTACCTTTATCTGTTACAAACTGTTACACTATCAGCACTAGGTATAAACATCTCACATTTTCTATATCTATTACAACAACAATATTAAGCACATGTTTGCTTTTTCTAAAGAAAGAAATAACTATTTATTTTTAAGGCATAATGTGTCTAAGGAACTCCACTGAAATCTGAAAGTCTGAAAAAAACCCATAAAATTTGAATTTCTTAGTAAGATCAACTTGGGCATTAATAAAACAGAAAGACATATAAAATGAATAACTAAAATACTCGGAAATACAGTCGAACTTTGTTCGCTCGAACTCGGAGGGCCTGTGCAAATTTGTTCGAGAGATCGGTAGTTCGAGCCAACCGAGGTTGAACTATTATTACGTTGATCATATGCCAAAAGGTTTTCCTAGCTTACATCGGTCGAATGATAATTGCGTCAATATAATTGATTGTAAGTACATCTTTTCATCGAATATTTCATATTCAGAATTATTATCCCAGTGTTTATTTAAGTATTAACGATAAGCTGTGTTAATCTATATTCATGCATATTGTAATTGGTTGAGTTCGATTTTGGCAATCACACCAAACTTGTTGAACAATGTTCAAAATATATTTATATGATTATAAATGGGATGAATTTAATTTAAAAAAATAAATTAATGAAATATTTATTAAAAACATTTACAGCAGCATCTATTTGTAGTCTTTCACTAAAATAACACACATACAAGTGTCATTTTATAAATAGATAACAATGTTACGATTCACTTTACATGAACCACGGTTGTAATTGAAGCCGTCCGGGTAAACGTCATTCTTTATTGGTATGCATATTTCACAAGTTATTTTCTTTTTATCGTTACCATAAACGGCTAATCAACAATATTATCATAATAAATAAATCGGTTACTGTGAACACCTCTTATTTTGTATCAATTAACCTTAATTACCTTTGTCACGATCACGAGGTGTTAAAACATGTGTCGCCGACTGTCATTTATTTAGGACATACCGTCTTGTCTTTTTGTGTTCGACCGAAAAGGTGTGATTTTCACTATATTTCTGCTGAAGGGACCAGAGATCAGGTTCGAGAGTTCGAGCGGTCCGAGGTAGAACAATATATATTATATAGGAATTTTGCTGGGACTGGGCAATGAGTTCGAGCGAAGGAAGGTATTCGAGCGGTTCGAGTTCGAGCGAACAAAGTTTAACTGTATATAAAAAAAATCATACTTTTGTGCTTCAAATTCTTATCCCAGTTTGAGTCAAAAAGCATTGCAACATTTTTCAGTTTTGAAACATTTTTCAAAATTAGAGCAATAATAATATAATAATAATAATATTTTTGAAAAAGCAGAGTAATCAAAGGATTGAAAATTTTCACACTGGTCTAGACATACATCAAATGGATCTTGAAAAATAATTCCCTCATGTAAAAAAAAAATCTTTGTTGAGTCCCTTTAACCCATTACTTCATGAGCATTTTGTAAAAAATGGCTGTTTTCATTGAAAAGTCTCCCGTTACAAGTTCAAATTGCTATAATACTATAAAAACTGCTTCAACACTAATCAAACTTAGCACAAATGTTGACTGGACCATCGCCCTTGCAACAACATGCTCAGGCTTAAATATTCTGTTACCATGGCAACGAGGGGACATCTCAAAATTGCCAAAAATCACTATTTTGCGTTGATTTTTTCCATCATAATTGATTTCAAAGTGCTGCAACTTCTCAATGGATTGAGATAGAGTCAAATGCTTTTCAGCGTTGATTACACGTTACCTTATGAACAATCTGGGGTCATTTATAGCCTCTCACAAGTCCAAAATTTTCTTGGCACATCCCCCTTCTGGCAACCCCCTGATGTGTCTTTTGGTTGGGGAGCCGCCCCGAAAAAGTGGTCACTTTTTTAGCTCACCTGTCACTTTGTGACAGGGTGAGCTTTTGTGATCGCTTTTCGTCCGGCGTCCGTCTGGCGTCCGTCCGTCCGTCAGTAAACTTTTGCTTTAAATGACATCTCTTCATAAACCACTGAGCCAATTTCATCCAAACTTCACAGGAATGTTCCTTTGGTGGTCACCTTTAAAAATTGTTCAAAGAATTTAATTCCATGCAGAACTCTTGTTGCCATGGCAACCGAAAGAAAAATCTTTAAATATCTTCTTTTAAACAACCCTAAGAGCTAGAGCTTAGATATTTGGCATGAAGCATCTTCTGATGAGTGTCTACCAAGTTTGTTCAAATAAAAGCCCTGGGGTCAAAATTGGCCCCGCCCCAGGGGGTCATAGATTTTCCCTATATGCATATAGTAAAAACTTAAAAAATCTTCTTTTAAAGAACCCAAAGAGCTAGAGCTAAGATATTTGGCCTGAAACATCTTCTAGTGAGTGTCTACTAAGTTTGTTCAAATAAAAGCCCTGGGGTCAAAATTGGCCCCGCCCCGGGGGTCATTGATTTTCCCTATATGCATATAGTAAAAACTTAAAAAATCTTCTTTTAAAGAACTGTAACAGCTAGAGCTTAGATATTTGGCATGAAACATCTTCTAGTGAATGTCTACCAAGTTTGTTCAAATAAAAGCCCTGGGTCAAAATTTGGCCCTGCCCAGGGGGTCATAGATTTTCCCTATATGCATATAGTAAAAACTTAAAAAATCTTCTTTTACAGAACCCAAAGAGCTAGAGCTAAGATATTTAGCATGAAACATCTCTAGTGAGTGTCTACCAAGTTTGTTCAAATAAAAGCCCTGGGTCAAAATTGGCCCCGCCCCGGGGGGTCATTGATTTTCCCTATTTGCATATAGTAAAAACTTAAAAAATCTTCTTTTAAAGAACCGTAAGAGCTAGAGCTTAGATATTAAGCATGAAACATCTTTTAATGGGTGTCTACCAAGTATGTTCAAATAAAAGCCCTGGGGTCAAAACTGGCCTGCCCCGGGGGTCATTGATTTTCCTTATATATGTATAGCAAAAACTTAAAAATCTTCTTTGAAAAAACCCAAATAGCTAGAGTTTAGATATTAAGCATGAAACATCTTTAAGTAAATATCTACAAAGTTTGTTCAAATAAAAGTCCGGGGGTGAAAACTGGCCCTGCCCCAGGGGTGTCATTGTTTTTAACTATATGTGTATAGTAAAAACTTAAAAAGTCTTCTTTTAAACACTCAATGAGCTAGAACTTAGATGTTTAGCATGAAACATCTTCTTATGGGTGTCTACCAAGTCTGTTCAAATAAACAAATAAAAGCCCTTGGGTAAAAATTGGCCCCGGGGGGGGGGGGGGGGGGGGGGCTTATATACAGGTGAGCGACCTCAGGGCCATCATGGCCCTCTTGTTTAACAACATTTCTCAAACAAAAACAAGTGTTGGGGGCCTAAATAAGGCATTTTTTCACCATTTGAGACAACAAAAGGGGGGGGGTGAAAAAGGCTTAAAAAAGGCGTGTATATGACGTAATGGGTTAAGATAAATAGCGAATTTTGTGTGAATGTGCTATGGTTACAAATGTGAATATGGAATCAGATTTTAATATACCTTCAATGGAAAATGATTAATTTATTATCAAAGGCATATGATAAAAATTATTGAAGTGTTTAAAGGTTACTGTAAACAATCTATTGTATTATTGTAGAGGAAAAGTTACGATATATATATTATGTAATTATGTACAGGATATTGTGGAGAAGTTGCACATACAAGAAAGACCAAGTCAGGCAAGAGCCAGAGAGGTGTTGACAGATCTAGAATCAAGAAGAATTCTACATGCCCTAAACAGAGATCACAAACCACTTTTTGTAAGCATTTATCATATAAGATTAAAACTTGTATAATAGAAAATAATACAAAATACAGTCTAACTTGCCCATGCGACCACGTGTATTAAGCGACCTTTGTCTTAAACGACCACTTTAAATTCCCCCCGATCATTTTCTCTCTATAACTTTAATGTATTAAGCGACTTTTGCTCAACGCGACCAGCGACCGCTAATTAGTCACCTAATTGAGATAAATCTTTTCATTAAACGACCACTTTTACCTGCCAAGTAATTGTGTTTTTAGAGAACGCCACCTCGTAATGTCACAAGTGTCAACAATCAAAACACAACAAATAAATGTGTGAAAAAGTCTATTTCCCAAACCGAAAATGAAGTTAAGTATATGCGTGACATGTATTATCCAATAATATCGGATAAACAATGCAACGCTCCGCCCCTACTGAGATGGTGTATACGCTTCGCTTGTTGACATTTAGACTGCATTGAATTGACCTTGAACTTGATCAGCAATTAAATTAATCGTAACAATTAGATGTAGTTTGTATATTTCAAATGAAAAAATGCACAACAGAAAACATCTTCACATATAGGGTTTTCGTGTTTGAATCAAAGAAAAAAACAACGGAGAAGTTAAAAAATTCTGGAAAAATGTCAAACATGTACGTAACATTTTGGATCAAAACTGTTTTGTCAATAAATATCAGGAAGTTATGTTTTACATTTGCATCCATTTAGATTATCGGAGCGTGCTTATTATTCAACATGTATATAAAAACGAAGTTGAAAAACATTCCCACCGCATAAGAAATTTATTTATAAATTTTGACTTTTATATCATGCTGACTGTCTTAAGAGACCGTTTCATTTAGCGACCATTTTGGGTGTTTCCCTTGCGCGGTCGCTTAATACACGTTTGACTGTTACAAACTTTCAGAAATAATTAAAACTTTTAAGAATTTAAAAGGCCTTCTTGTGTCCAAGAAGTGCTTAATTTTCATTTCTCAATTTTAAAGCTTCCAGTTATAGGTACAAAAATTACACATTGGCCACTTACCTGAACTGTCTTTGCTTCCATTGCTTTTTAGTAATTCTGCAATGGTCTCATATTTTTGTATATATTGTTTCAAAATATTCAATCCTTATTCACTTGATTTAAATCAAGGTAGCAAATATTTTAATTGACATTTAAATTGAATATTTGAATCCTTATCTGAAAAACATCATTTAATTTTTATAAAATGAGGATCATTTTTGTTGTATTGAAGATGTTCATATATTTCCTTTCAAGTTTGAATGCCCTAACAATAGTTGGTTTACTTTTGGTATTTACAATAATTATGCTCTTATAATATAATTCTAATACAAACTTGTAAAATATATTCATAGAATCCTGTAGCACACTTTTCTCTCATTTAACATGTTTTGTAGGCGATCATCCCAGATCTTCAATTTGGTCCCAAAGCTCCAAAGTTAAAATACTTCGTTCCGCCTTTGTCACATATGAAAAATAAAGAGGCTGCTTCAGATGATACAAGGACAGAATCAGCTGATGTACTACCATCTACTAGCTTAGATGTAAGCCTTGTATAGTTACTGTGAATTCACTTAATTTTGTGGCCACGAAATTTTGTGGTTTTGTCACATTTAAGGACATTTTTCTGGGTTCTTAAATTTGTGGTTTGTCTGTATGTGTGAAAGGATTTAAAATTATGTAATGCAAAATAATCCTACAGCAGTCAAAATAAAACTTCCATGGATTTTAAACTCGTAAATTGATTTATCCATTAAGACCACGAAAATTTTTGTCCTGCGAAAAATTATGATTTTGCAGTATAACATTTCTTATAATACTGCATGTTTGAATGTCAACTTTTCAGTGAACAAACCCAACATTTATAATATACTAAAACATGACTCCTGCAGACTTAAAAATTATTTTATTTCTTTTTCTCAAAGGAAAGGAGTCATGCATGCAGTTTTATAAATTTTTAGACATTTGACAGGTGATATAGCCTTACTGCTTTGGTCAGGCATTTTGACCTTTTTTTATAACTGATGATATTCTGTATTGCATATATAATATATTACATGTATATTTTTATAACAGTATAGTATAGTATAATATTGTTTTAATTCACGCTACACAACTTAATGCATTGGATATTAAATGTCACATTACACACTCTACTACATGGCATGTTATAATACATATTACACAACATATTTTATTATAGGGCATATAACACAGATTATTATATGGTATGTATACACGTACATCAATTGACATATCACACAGCATTCAATATTACTGTATAATTGGATATTTCAGCATGTCGAAAAGTTACTGCAAATTTAAAATTTCAGACATTTTGTTTAAGGAAATATTAGTGAATTATGCAAAGGTAGAATTTTGTGACAGGTTGGTTGATATTTATGCTAGAGGAAATTTTAGCGATTTTTGTCAATTTGCAAATTCGCCAATATTTCAGTGTCGCTAACTTAACCACTTAAACAGTAAATATTACACAGCCTTTTGCATGGCTTATCATTTGACATTTTCACATCACATAACATAGCATAATATAAATATGACACATTACACAACATATTTGATTGTACATGTTATATGGCATATGTTAGGTAAAATGTTTATTTCCAGGATTTGCATGTTTAGTTAATATATAAAAGTCTTACTATGATTTAAGTTATCTTCAAGTAAATGAATTTCATCTTCTGGAGAAAACAAAATACATTTTATAGAAATATGTATACTTTTTAAAAATTATATGTTATATTTCTAGTAAACTAATGAATATTGTACATTTTTTTATAGGACACCAGTCAGTTCAAGCCAGTACTGCCCTGTCAATCAATGCAGTCAAGTACAGGTAGTAAAATTTTAGTAAATGATTTAGCCAAAATTAACTTTACAAAGCTTGAAGTATTAGTAGTTGGTCACTTTAAAAAAAATGCGTAATTACTGGTTAGTTATACAAGAAACCCAGTTAGGTTGACCCGCAACCAAGATAGGACCAAACAAAAATTATGATTAACCAAACAAACAATCTTTACAAATGTACTTCAATAATATCTACTTATAAGAATATTTTTATTTTCATCCTTATTCTTATTTAGATAAATTAAAAGTTGCATTGAAGTCATATGAACACTAAGTCACTTATTCAAAGTCATATTGTAGAGATTTTATAAATTGTGAGGAAGTCATAGTAACAAAAGTCCTGAAGGCCAAATATCAGACAAGATCATGTCTGCTCTATAAATTCTATATCTTTTAAAGGATTTGCTTCAAGCTTTGCTCATATTATGACCTCCTGATTCCCTTGTCTTGATTTTAGGTCAACCTTGTAGGTCAATGTCAGATTTTGTTTCTGCTCTATAAATTCTATACTCTTTGAAGGAGTTCCTTCAAACTTGACTCAAATGTTCACCTTCTCAAGTTAATGTGCAATACTCGTTCTAGGTCAATCTCAGACAATTTCGTTTCTGCACTATAAATTCTATACTCTGCAGGATCTTCTTCAAACTTTGCTCAAATGTTCACTTTAGCAAGGTAATGTGCAGATTCCATGCTGCTTTTGTGCCAGCTCAAGGTCCTTGTCACTCTTGAAGGTTAAATGTCACTTGTGTAAAAACTAAAAGTTAACACAGAACCCATGCCACCAATGTGCCTACTAATGCTCCCACGTTTACAATTTTTTGTAAACGTTTACACGATTGCTAAGAACCGAAACGAAAACGTTTAGATGGTGGTACATCTTTGTACTATACACACCATGTATTTGAGTCGCCAAATGATGTCTTTCTTTCTAATTTAGCTCGACTATTCGATAAGAATAAGTAGAGCTATTGTAGTACCCCAAGCGTTGGCATCCGCGGTGGCGTCGGCGTAACCACTTATGTTAAAGTTTTTGTAATAGTTCAAATATTTTCAAAGTCCATTGACATATGGCTTTGAAACTTTGCACACTTGTTCACCATCATGACCCCAACCTGTAGACAGGAGGAGGTAACTCTATCAAGCATTTTGACAGAATTATGCCCCTTTTTGGACTTAGAATTTACGTTAAAGTTTTTGTAATAGTTAAAATATTTTCAAAGTCCATTGACATATGGCTTTGAAACTTTGCACACTTGTTCACCATCATGACCCCAACCTGTAGACAGGAGGAGGTAACTCTATCAAGCATTTTGACAGAATTATGCCCCTTTTTGGACTTAGAATTTACGTTAAAGTTTTTGTAATAGTTAAAATATTTTCAAAGTCCATTGACATATGGCTTTGAAACTTTGCACACTTGTTCACCATCATGACCCCAACCTGTAGACAGGAGGAGGTAACTCTATCAAGCATTTTGACAGAATTATGCCCCTTTTTGGACTTAGAATTTACGTTAAAGTTTTTGTAATAGTTCAAATATTTTCAAAGTCCATTGACATATGGCTTTGAAACTTTGCACACTTGTTCACCATCATGACCCCAACCTGTAGACAAGAGGAGGTAACTCTATCAAGCATTTTGACAGAATTATGCCCCTTTTTGGACTTAGAATTTACGTTAAAGTGGCAGGAGGAGGTAACTATATCAAGCATTTTTTTTACTATCAAGCACTAAGAATAGTCGAGCGTTGCTGTCCTACGACAGCTCTTGTTAATACATGTACAAATAAAGAATGTGCAGGGCTCATCACAATTGAGTCAGCACACATTTTTTGCATTTTAACCCCATAATGCTGTGTGGTGGGTTGTAAACACCAATTTTCCAGTTGTTTACTTTGGAAAAACCACTAGAAACCATGATTACAGGCAATGATTAAGAAATTTTTTAAGACAATACAGTCATTTCGATTAAACGGTAAACAATATCATAAACGTTTATAATTGGAAATTGAAACGAATCCGTTTAAACGTGTAATCGTGGGGGCCTTAGTGCCTACTCAAGGTCACACATGAAAGTCAAATAATATCAGACAATTTTATGTCCACACTTCAAGTTATATTATACTTATTGAAGGACTTTTTTTGACTGAGATGTTCACCTAACAAAATATGATGAATCCTGGGTCATAGAGGTAGAGGTAGTTGGGGAAAATGTTGGCTTCTATGACAGCTTTAGTTTGACATGATACTATTACAATGACAATGTAAAATCCTTTTCATTTCAGACATGTCTACAGAAACTGGAAACAAAAATAGTGCGCCTATAGAAATCCTGTTCCCAGCTCAATCATCGTTACCATTGTCTACAGCAGCACAAAATGTTAGATCTGGAAATTCTAGAAATTCAACTCAACCGTCAATTTCTTTGACAGCAACTGAATCAGACACTAGTTTAGCATCTGCCGAATTACATTGCCTAGCTAATTCATCTGAACAATTTTCAACTTTTAAACCAGAGCTAGGAATAGGTACAAACCTAACTGAACAATCTAAACCAGAGTCATTATTTCATCCAGATCAATTAACCAGTAGATTGACAGGAGATAAGTTAACAGCTGAAAAATTTCTACCAATGGAAACAGTTAAACAAGAATCTGATATCAGCTGTTCAGGAATTCAACAAATTCAACCAATGGCAACTGATAAATCAGAATCTGGTACCAGCAGCTCTGGATTCCAGTTCTCAGCCACGCTAAGTAAATCATTGTCAATGCTGAAACAAGACCCAGGTACCAGTAGTTCAGGATTCCAGTGCCCAGCTCAACCCTCTAAGCAAGTATCAGCGTTTAAACCAGATCTGGGTACCAGCAGATGGACAGGAATTCAATCCCCAGCACAGCAGTCTCAACCCAGGCCAATTGTTAAACCAGAACCTGGTACCAGCCCTTCTGGATTCCAGTTACCAGCTCAACAATATCAATCATTGTCAACTGGTAAAGCAAAGCCTGATACCAACAGCTCAGGATTCCAATCCACAACAAAACAATCTCAGTCATTGCCAATATTTAAACAAAAACCTAGTACCAGCCCTTCTGGATTCCAGTTCCCTGATCAGCCATTGATTTCAATGACTTTAACTCAAGAAAACACTGGTACCAGCAGATCAAACTGTGACATAACTTCTTTTAAATGTATGTCATCCATACTGTCTGTTGGACAGAATGAGACCTCATTTTCAGTTAACTCTGAATCAAAAGAAAGTAATGGCTTGACAAGACATGATTCTGGTTTTATTACGACAGCATCATCTGCTTCAAGTACCAACTCTGCTATTGATTCTAGTTTGACATTATCTACTGACAAAACTCCTACAACTGTATTAAATTTGAAGGAAGAACCTAATCAAAGTGTTACTCAATCTTCAAACAGTATGCCTAACTTTCAGTTTGACCATAAATCAACTCCAGTGTCAGTATCTGAACAAAATTCTGGATATGGTTTTGACAATAGAAATGACATATCCAAGCAAAGTATTCCAACTGGACAAAACTATGGAGTAGGTGTTTCTGTTTTCAATTCACAGGACAAAACTAGGTCATTAGATAGGTCATTCAACCATCCTGCAGATAATTTTATGGCGCAAGAAAGATTGGTATCATCCATTGCCATAGAGAGTTCTGATAAACCAAAAGATGGCTCTCTTAATTCTAAACCTTCTAATAAAGATACAGTGTCATCTGTGGACTCTAAGTCAGCTTCCACAAATTCAGTAACCTGATGTTTGTAATTTGTAAATGATGACGGTGCAGACATTGAACCTCAATCATCTGGAATTTTCATCTAGCCTACAGGAAAGAAATGGGTCTTGATGATGACATGCCAGTGTAATTAAAAAGACAGTAAGAAATACCCCTGCTAACAGGATGTTTTGTCCTGTTCAATTTTAAACCTCGGCCTGGAATGCAAATTCCCCACTACTGAAAATGGAAAAATTGCAATGTTACCAGAGGTCGAAAGCCCTGCTGTTGAGAAAAGTAATGCTTCAAATTTTTAAAATCCGTCCATTGGGCAGAACATTACCACGCAATGTCTCAGGTAAGACAAATATTAAGGTAATTTCCATTTAAATTCCCATTTCAAAAAATGAATACTTTATGTTGTATATTTTGGGTAAATGAAAAAACTTTTTACACATGCAATTAGTTTCTAGATAGTAAACAAGAAAGAAGAATCTACAACTGGATACGGTTTAAGGTTGATGGTTCACTGTTTTGAACTTTTTATGAGTCTTCATCAGGATTATAGAATTTGAAATACATTTAGTATTTTACACAGGCGTCTATGGCCGAGTAGTTGAACTCATTGACTTCAACCTACTTGCCCCTCACAGCTATGTGTTTTAATCCTGACAGAGACTTCGGATTTCTTGCATAAGAGAAAGCTATCCAGCTTACTTACGAAATGTCGGTGGTTCTAACTCATATGCCCATTTGTGCCTGAAAATAATGCACGGAATGGCACCTGCAGTCTTCCTCTTACAGTAAAGCAGGAAGTCACCTAAGTATGTATATTGGACTTAATATTCTCTTTCGCCGCTTAATAAGATATACTGTCACAACAATGTAGATAAATTGGATTTTCAAAAAGTGACATAATGGTCATTGTTTGTTTGTCATGTTAGCTACATATTTAAAAATTGACTAAATTTAAATATTGACTAATGAAATGGACATTGACTAATAATTGATAATGATAGGTTAGGATAAAATATAACAACTGCATAAAATATAAAAAGACTGCCCCACTCATTTTATCAATTGAAGCATCACAGGTACATTCTGAAGGATATTCATAAAAAGTTTTATGAGTCACATGGATTAACGATCATTTTTGTGAATACACAATTAAAAACAATTATGGCAAAACGTGTTTCTGACTTTAGCCTGTACATTCACCAGATGAGCATAATGACACTTAAAACTAATTGTTTTTGCAGGTAATACAGTAAAATTTGCAAAAATGGGCATGCCAGGCCCGGCAGTTCAGACTTCCTGACAAGGTAAGTTTAATCTTTCTTTCAATAAGTCCTTTGAATCTTTCACAGCTGGGCTCAGATTTATCAACTCACAAACTTGAAAAATGCAAATCAAATTGAAAATAAGTAGAAACTTTTTTGCAAACAAAAGATAGTGTAAGGAGAAACAGTATCTATAAATGAACATATAATTTGATATAACTTAAGAAAAAGAAAGGAAATTTTAAACAAAAAAGTGTCATCTCCAAAGGCAAGTGTAAACTAATATTTTTCATAAAGCACCTTTTTTCCTATAGTAGCGTATGGATCTACAACTTCATTCATAATGGACAGAAGGATATCATCCTATGATTTCAATTCATTCATATAAGGCGCATAGAAATGGCGTTATGTCAAGCATGCGAGCTATCTTAACAGGGGGTGTAATACAGGCTTTCTCTAGCACTGGTGTCAACAGTAAATAATCTTGTCTGATATGCTAGAAAAATATCATAAACTATTACTATATCAATTTGACTGGTTCCTTGCAGAAGAGTGATAATGGTGACCATATGAAGCTGTATGACATGGGAATGGAACCAGGCAGGAAACCATTTCTTGGACTGTTTTGTTTGCTTACTTGGATGAGAAGGGAACTCCAATGTCTTACATGCCCACAATCTTGAAACAACCAATAGATTTGTTCCATCTCTACATGATAGTACAGGCATTGGGTGGAATGTTAGAGGTGGGTATTGCTATTGATGAAGATATTTCTCATAAAATTCAGGTTGGATATGATATAAAATCTGATAAAAACAAGTGCAAGGAATTGTCATAAATCAAGCCTTTAACTAAACACATCAAAGTTTATGGAAATAAACTTGTGTCCACATTTTATGAGCTTTGTTATACCCCCACCACAAAATGTGTGGGGGGGGGGCTATAATGGATTCGCTTTGTCGCGTCAGTCCGTCTGTCTCCATTATCGTTTTCGCTCTATAAATCCTATACCAATTGAAGGATTTCCTTCAGACTTGGCTCAAATTTTCACCTCAACAAGGGGATGTGCAGAACCCATGTTGCTCATGTGTCAGCTCAAGGTCAAGGTCCCAATTGAAGGTCAAATATCAAACAATCAAATACTAGACAGTATGTTGTGTCCACTCTGTAAGTCCTACACTAATTAAAAAAATTCTTCAATTTTGGCTCAAATGTTCCCCTCAACAAGGTTATGTGCAGAACCCATGTTACTTCAAACTTGGTATGCATGCTTGTTATAATGACCTGAAGTGCAGTGCATAAGAACCAGTACTCTGCACTTCTTTAATTTTTGAGTTATTGCCCTTTGTTAATTTTCATACTTTATTTTTGTCCAGGTCATTTCCCCTAAAGTATAAAAGCTCTGGACTTGAAACTTCATAGGATGATAGATCTCATAAAGAAGAAGTGCAGTGCACAAGAACCGGTACTCTGCATTTCTTATTTGTTTAGTTATTGCCCTTTACTAATTTTCATACTGTATTTTTGTCTAGGCCATTTCTCCTAAAGTATAAAAGCTATGGACATGAAAATTCATAGGATGATAGATCTCGTTAAGAAGAAGTGCAGTGCATAAAAACTGGTACTCTGCAAATTTCTTATTTTTTGAGTTATTGCCCTTTGTTAATTTTCATACTTTATTTTTGTCCAGGCCATTTCTCCTAAAGTATAAAAGCTATGGTCTTTAAACTTCATAGGATGATAGATCTCATTAAGAAGAAGTGCAGTGCATAAGAACCTGTACTCTGCATTTCTAAGTTTTTTAGTTATTGCCCTTTGTTAATTTTCATACTTTATTTTTCTCCAGGCCATTTCTCCTAAAGTATAAAAGCTATGTTATTTAAACTTCATAGGATGATAGATATCATTAAGAAAAATGCAGTGTACAAGAACCGGTACTCTGCACTTCTTTATTTTCTTCATTTTTGTTCTGGCCATAAATTCTCCTAAACTATATTGTTCACAAGGCGACACATCCGACTCGTGTAGTTCTAGTTAAGTCTTCAAATTTACATACAATCAAATATTAGACAATATGTCGTGTCCGCTTTATAAATCCTATACTAATGGAAGAGTTTTATTCAAACTTTACTTAAATGTTCACCTCAACAAGATTACTAGTATGTGCAGAACCCATGTAACGTTTGTGCCAGCTTAAGGTCAAGGTCATACTTGAAGGTCAAAAATTGACTTAGAAAATATTCTTAGATTTTAACATGTACTTGAACATTTCTGAAACTAGCCCAGGTATTTGCTTGAAACTTAAAAGATATATGAGGTGTCACAAGTAAGATATGCAGGTCAAGTTTCATAACTCTGTATTGCACTTTGACAAAGTTATGCCCTTTTTAAGTCTTTAAAATTTACATACAATCAATACTAGACAATATGTCGTGTCTACTCTATAAATTCTATACTAATGGAAGGATTATCCTCAAACTTGACTCAAATGTTTATTGCAACTGGGCAATGTGCAGTACCCATCTTACCCTTGTGCCAGCTTAAGGTCACTAAAGTATTCCTTAACCACCTTTCCAAGTCATCTTCTGTCAAGGACATTAGGTATGAATAGCATTTAGCAATAGTTCTAGTTTTTCTTATGATGCGTAAAGGTGAAAATGATCTTACAAACATGAATGTAATATCATGAGCTTACTACTCCTTAAGGAGCTATTACTAAATAAAGGTTTGTATCAATTGGATGGTGTCAGCAGGTAAAAATTTGCTACACATAGTACCAAGGTACATTAGTGTTCCATTTTTAAAGTAAAAAATACTTTTTTGCCCATTTATGTATTAATTTGATGGGTTTCTTCTGCAATTTGTAAAAAATAATCATCAGATTGTTGAGTATTGATGACATATTTTAGCTCGACTTTTTTTTATTCATACTTGGACAACGGCCAGGAGAAGATTTTAAAGAAGACTTAACTGAACTTGACATGTACTTTGAAATGACCTTGATGTTGAAGATCAAATTACTGTGTTTGCTTGCACAATTGGCATTTCCTCTTTGATTGTATTCATACTTGGACATAACCAGATTAGGACATGACCGTTTATAACAAGTTTATATGAATGATGACCTTGACCTTTATTTGACCTTGTCATTAACCAGCATTGAAGAATGCAAATATGATCTTAACCTTAAAATTGACTGCCACATATCTTATTGTCAAATTGATGTGTTGAAGTATTCAAGTTTGACCTTAAGTTGTCATTGAAGGACTTGGTCAAGTTGTTAAATCCATAAATTTGTTATTATATAGTCATATATGATTCAAACTTTGAAAAGGCCACTCTAATTACCATGAACATGTTAAAAAATTCAAGTACGACCATGACGTTAAATGTTAATGTCAAATTCAATTCTGTACACAAATTTATTTATTGTTTTGAAAACCTTCTAGTATACAATTTTCTTCTTATGATGTCTTTGCCTTTGGAAACAGAAAAATGTCTAGCATAGCCCACTGTTGTAATTGTTTTAGTGTTTTAATTTAAAGCCAACAATAACTGATAATTTATTGTATTACTTGGTAGATTCAGGCAAAGAAATGGAAAGAGATTTGTGTTTTGATGAATTTCCCCGAGTCCGCAAGTGCAGCATTTACTCTCAAGAAGAATTATATGAAATTTTTGTTCGCCTTTGAATGCTGCTTTGATCGTGGTGGAATAGATCCTGCTCTAATTTTGGCGATGGAAAATCTGGAAAAGAATCGTGTCAGAACATGCAGAATACGAAGAGATGTTCAAAAAACGGAAGAGTTTTCTTACCAGGTAGATGAAATAAAGAAAAATGGAATCCCTTGTACAGACATTTTAATAAATAGTTTGCTAACTAATATCTTAATCATCAAAGTTGTTTCTAATACAGAAATTAGTTTCAGGAATAATTAAACCCCTGCTTATGCATAGACTATGTAATAGAAAAATGATTCAATATACATTATCAAATAAATCAGATTAAATATTTAGATCATGTTTATTCATTCAGTGGATAGATGTTAATTTTAGCATTATCTTGCTTTCCATAGTTTATAATTCTTAAATCAATGTATTGCTTTAAATGACCAAATGACATTGAATAATGTTAAAATGATATTATTGAAGCAGCATGCCTCCAGATTCATTTCCCTGGCCTAGTGGTTAAGGTCGTTGACTTCAAACCACTTGCCACTCTCCCCTGTGGGTTTGAATCCCTTCAGGGACTTTGGATTCTTTCATGTGAGGAAAGCTATCCAGCTATTTTAGGGAACGTCGGTGGTTCTACTCAGGTGCCCATTTGTGCCTGAAATAATGCACGTAATGGCACCTGAGGTCTTCCGACACCAGTAAAAGCTGGAACGTCTCCGTATGATCTACAATGTGTCGATGTGAATCATTCAATCAATCCAGATTCATGCTAATTTTTGTGAAAACTTTGAAAAATGTATTTAAAAGTATAATATTGTGATCTTAACAAAGAAAGTAATTTACGCATGGTAAACAGCACTTACAAATCCCCTTATTTTACCAAAATAGATGTCAATATATTCAAAATTTATGTTTAGAAGTAGAAATATAGTGATAAATACTGCAAAATTAGTCATTGATCACACATAACAAGTAGATTATTACTTGAATGTTTTCTACTTAAATTCTTAAAATATCAGTACATTTTCTGAGTTTTTTATTAGCTCTCCTGTCACAAAGTGACAGGGTGAGCTTTTGTGATCGCTTTTTGTCCGGCGTCCGTCCGTCCGGCCGTCCGTCCGTAAACTTTTACTTTAAATGACATCTCCTCATAAACCACTAAGCCAATTTCATCCAAACTTCACAGGAATGTTCCTTTGGTGGTCACCTTTAAAAATTGTTCAAAGAATTTAATTCCATGCAGAACTCTGGTTGCCATGGCAACCAAAAGAAAAAACTTTAAATATCTTCTTTTAAAAACCCAAAAGAGCTAGAGCTAAGATATTTAGCATGAAACATGTGCTAATGGGTGTCTACCAAGTTTGTTCAAATAAAAGCCCTGGGGTAAAAATTGGCCCCGCCCCAGGGGGTCATTGATTTTCCCTATATGTATATAGTAAAAACTTAAAATATCTTCTTTTAAAGAATTCAAAGAGCTAGAGCTAAGATATTTAGCATGAAACATGTTCTAATGGGTGTCTACCAAGTTTGTTCAAATAAAAGCCCTAGGGTCAAAATTGGCCCCGCCCCAGGGGGTCATTGATTTTCTCTATATGTATATAGTACAAACTTAAAAAATCTTCTTTTAAAGAACTCAAAGAGCTAGAGCTAAGATATTTAGCATGAAACATGTTCTAATGGGTGTCTACCAATTTTTTGTTCAAATAAAAGCCTTGGGTCAAAATTGGCCCCGCCCCAGGGGGTCATTGATTTTCCCTATATGTATATAGTAAAAACTTAAAAAAATCTTCTTTTAAAGAACTCAAAGAGCTAGAGCTAAGATATTTAGCATGAAACATGTTCTAATGGGTGTCTACCAAGTTTGTTCAAATAAGAGCCCTGGGGGTCAAAATTGGCCCCGCCCCGGGGGTCATTGATTTTCCTTATATATGTGTATATCAAAAACTTAAAAAGTATTCTTTGAAAAAACCTAAATAGCTAGAGTTAGGATATTAAGCATGAAACATCTTCTAGTGAGTGTCTACAAAGTTTGTTCAAATAAAAGCCCTGGGATCAAAATTGGCCCTGCCCTGGGGGTCATGATTTTCCTTATATGTGTATAGGAAAAACTTAAAAATCTTCCTTGAAAAAACCCAAATAGCTAAAGTTTAGATATTAAGCATGAAACGTGTTCTAGTAAGTGTCTACAAAGTTTGTTCAAATAAAAGCCCTGGGGTCCAAACTGGCCCTGCCCCAGAGGTGTCATTGTTTTTTAACTATATGTGTATGGTAAAAACTTAAAAAATCTTCTTTTAAAAAACCCAATGAGCTACAGCTTAGAGTTTAGCATGAAATATCTTATTATGGGTGTCTACCAAGTTTGTTCAAATAAAAGCCTTGGGTTAAAATTGGCCCTGCCGGGGGTGGGGGAGGGCAGATCATTGTTTTTCATTATAAGTGTGTACATCATGAAACGTCTTCTTATAGGTGTCTTCCAAGTTTGTTCAAATAAAAGCCCTGGGGTTTAAACTGGCCCCGCTCCGGGGGCCTATGTACAGGTGAGCGACCTTAGGGCCATCATGGCCCTCTTGTATATTTTTAAAATATTTTGGCACATCTGGATGCATGCAGCTTGAATGTTATTATAAAAAAGGATGTTAGGGACCCTTTGCTTGACAAGGCTCAAGTTTGTTGGTTTTGTACCAAATTTATCTATAAATATAATGCAAAACCAAGAAACTTTGTAATCAGATTATTTTGATCATTTGTTGGGGTATGTAAATTCAACAAATTTGCTTGTTTATACATGTAGTTTATTTTCTTTCTTATTTTTAACAGAATATTTGCAATGGAGATAGTACAGTCATACACGCTTCTGAGAAAGATATAAAGGCATCCTATAATGAAGAAACTACTCCTGTAGACCATGTCTGTAGTGCTGCACTAAAGAAGAATTTGTCGCTACCAAACTATCATCTCAAAGAAGGCAGTCGGCTTCAAACAAACATTCCTACTATGTTCCATAGAAATGTTAAGAAGGAAAAGTCAGCAAGGAGAAAAATTAAAAGGCTTCCTGAAATTGAACGTGTATATATTGGAAATGGTGTAGCTCCTATATTTAAGGAAGGTACCATGGCACATGCAAATGAAAAAGAACATTCTAAGACTGCGGTAAAATCTTGTTCCATGACAGCATTGGATACTTTAGGAGAAATCCCCAATCTTCCAGAGCCATTGGCCCCACCATCAGTTGAACACATACCAGAATCTCTCAGTTTTAAACAAGTGTTTTGTGACATCGAAACAACGTCTTTATTTATGTACACAGAAATTGTACAAATAGCGGCAGTTTGTGGAGAGGAAGAATTTGATCAGTATATATTACCATTAAGGCAGTTCGACCCGGGATCGTCTAAAGTGACTGGATTGACATGTGATGGGAGAAATCTTTATCATCATGGAACTGCTGTACGTACTCTAGATCTTAGGTCAGCACTGGAACGATTCTTGGGTTGGCTGGATCAACTTAAACCTTGCATACTTGTTGGGCATAATTTTAAATCATTTGATTATCCAAGATTATACAAAGCTTTCAGTAAATTTCATCTCATTAATTCTTTTCATCAAATAGTTGTGGGTTTTATAGATTCCTTTCCGTTATTTAAAGCTATATATCCGAATTTAAAGAATTACAAGCAAGAAACTCTAGTCGCTGAACTTGTCGGAGAAACTTACGATGCCCACAATGCACTGGGTGACGTAAGAAGTTTGCAAAAATTGTTCAGTGTTTCTGACCGAATCCCTCCAAACTTATTATGTGAGCACAGTTTCACTGTAGCTTGGTATGTACAATATCATAACTATAAAACAAAATGTAACAAAATTGCTGAATCATTCAGCCAAATAGTCAACGAGAAAATTCTTAGTAAAACTACAATAGATAAGATCGCAGTTAGTGGCCTCGAGTTAAAGGATTTGAAACAAGTTTATAGAAAAGGGGGAACCAAGGTTGTTACAGAAGTTTTGAAAAGCAGGTTAACTTTAAGCCGGTCAACAGTTGATAAACTGATAGAGTTTTTGGCAAATAAATCAAGTGTTGATGAATATATCCCAGGGCTATAAAGCTAGATCTTATGAAACAATTTTATGAAATTTGAAATTTAAACACAAACGAATAATGAACATAAACAAAAAAATTTCGGATATAAAATATTATGCAGGCATTTTAACTTCGAACACACACCATTTGCTCTGAAGAGAATATACTACTATTTCTTTCATACAAGCATTTTGGTAAAGTATTCTTTTATGAAATTGTAACTATCATTTTATAACAACTAAAGAACTTTATACACTTTAATGGTCATGGAAAGTTGGTATTTATGGTATGTCCCAAATGTCAAGCCACTGCCTTTTTACAAAACCGTACTTGGTACAAAAAATATTAATTCAACTTTAAAAATGGTAATGAAAGTGGTGAAATTTATTGTCACTGATATTATCAATCTGACTAAAATTCAGTTCTACCTATTTCTGTTATGTTGATCTGATTACGAACGTATATGTTTCGCCTCCTGATTTCGTATTTCCTGAGAAAGCTATTTTTAACCATGCAATCAAACCGGTTTTTACATAGGAATTAGAAAAAGTATCAAAAAAATTTTAACAAATTTACTTGAAATAATAGAGTCAATTTTTAATTGGCAAGATTGTTTTGCCAGTTTACCTGTCGACTATATGGACAACGGCAAGTTTGTTCTCGAAATCGTGACAATTTCCTTCTCAGTATTGGTTTTCCCAGCATTAAAATTAGAAACCGCATCGCTTTCAAAATTATGAAAGCTCGTCGATGATTAGCTATGTGAAAGATCACTTCGTAATTGGTCAGTTTTAGGTAATTGGTCACTTTTAGATCTAAAAGCGGAGCGTTATGTAGAGCTAATTTTAATCAGATTGCTGATATTAGTTAATTACTGATATATAGAATTTATCTATATAACATAAATTGTACATTATAATATTATGTGCATTTATTTACTTATTTTTGTAAAAAAGGAAATCATTTTATTGACAAAATTTTGTAAATGGAATGAATTTATTTTCGATTAAGTTTTTGTAATGAAATAGTCCAGAGGCATTATTTTATATTTTTTAAAAAGAATGCTTTAATATAATGTAGTCTTCAGCATTCTTCTACAACTTTCTGCTCAGGGATGCGTTCTCAAAATATACCTCCCCTCTTCAGAATAGTCTACACTCTTTAACACATGCTTCCCCGCCTTAACTTGGTTCAAAATTACCATACCCTATTCAGAATAGGTTATACAACTGTTACACTCTTCTTTGCCCCAACCTGATTCAAAATTCACATTCCCTTTTGAAAATAGGCTATACCTCTGATATTCCTTCCCTCCTAACTTGATTCAAAATATCTCCCTGATGCTCTTTCCAGCCACTACTTGATTCAAATTTATCCTATCCTTTTGAGAATAGGCTTTACCTCTCTGATACACTTCACGACCCTGAACCCTCCACTTTTCAGAATAGGTTATGCCACTGTTACACTCTTCTCCGTCCCAACCCGATTCAAAATTGCCCTCTCCTTTTAAGAATCGGTTGCACCCCTTTTCACACTTCCCCACCACAACTAGTACGGTTCATGTATTTATAAGAAGCTATGTGACATATAATTATATTTATGTCAAATGCATTATTTCATATATGCTTTTATGAATGCTATTTTAAATTTTCTTTTATTTTCTTGTTACATAATTTTTAAGCTATTTGTTGTAATACAATTTACTAGTTTTTGGTTGTTGTTGTTGTTTTTTTTGTTTTTTTTTAGAAATTATTATTTATGATTATATATTTACATGTTTTCCAAAGCGACTGTAATCTCTAATTTTTTTTTTTTGCAATAACATGAATAATAAGTTGTCATGTGTATATGTACGTATATCTAATTTAGTAAGTGTAGTGAAGTTAATTAAGATTTTTACATTGCAGCATCTTTAAGAGAATTTTACATTGAAAATGTGCCAGACTTCAATAGTATACACATAATTTCACAATGCGTTAAATGGAGTGAAGGCATTAGTTACCTGTATTTGAGTAACGGCACTGTCTGTCGGATAAAGACAGAGTATGATTGTAGAGAGGCTACATTTTTTTCTGGGGTAAACTTACTGTGAGGATTATTGATAGAAAAGACATATTCAGGTGCATTTACCATTAGTTACATTTATTCTGGGATTTCATACTGTGACACAGGGCAACAGGGCTTTTTTGAAGCTAGAAATTCTTTTAAGAATTATTAAGTGTTAAAAATAAAATCTTAATATAGTTCTCTTCTTAGAAATTACAAGGCTCTAGATATATTGTGCATGTAACATTGTCTAGTATTTCTCAAAAAAAATCTTGCATCATTGTTGTTGGCAATTAAAATGTATAGTTTCATATACCATTATTTATCAAGCGAGTGATAATATATATTACAATTTTTACTTATTATCAGCATTGTACTATAATTGCTTTATGCAATAAAGTACTATGCTTTATGCAATAAACTTTTCATATTCAATGTATTCATAAATGAACAAATTCTTAGTTCTTTTGTTTAACTGTAATTACTGTGGTATTTAAGTATGTTGTTTTTATGGTTTGTTAAATGTTTGTAATGGAAACAACTTAATATCTTCACTGTTTTGTAGGTCAGTTATTTATTTAAATTTTAGATAAGTGATAGAAAAAATGTAACATCTGTATCTTATCATGACTGTATAATTATGTAGCCAAAATCAAAATGTCATAATTTCTATTATTTATGATATGTCCTTTTTAAATGATAGAAGCCTTTGTGATTTTATTCCACAAATTTTATTCATGTATGTATTACTTTGGGGTTGTTTTTTTTTAGCTCACCTGTCACAAAGTGACAGGGTGAGCTTATGTAATCGCTTTTCGTCCGTCGTCCGTCCGTCGTCCGTCCGTTTTGCTTTAAATGACATCTCCTCATAAACCACTGAGCCAATTTCATCCAAACTTCACAGGAATGTTCCTTTGGTGGTCACCTTTAAAAATTGTTCAAAGAATTTAATTCCATGCAGAACTCTGGTTGCCATGGCAACCGAAAGAAAAATCTTTAAATATCTTCTTTTAAACAACCCTAAGAGCTAGAGCTTAGATATTTGGCATGAAACATCTTCTAGTGAGTGTCTACCAAGTTTGTTCAAATAAAAGCCCTGGGGTCAAAATTGGCCCCACCCCAGGGGGTCATTGATTTTCCCTATATGCATATAGTAAAAACTTAAAAAATCTTCTTTTAAAGAACCCAAAGAGCTAGAGCTAAGATATTTGGCATGAAACATCTTCTAGTGAGTGTCTACCAAGTTTGTTCAAATAAAAGCCCTGGGGTCAAAATTGGCCCCGCCCCGGGGGGTCATTGATTTTCCCTATATGCATATACTGATATAGTAAAAACTTTAAAAATCTTCTTTTAAAGAACCGTAAGAGCTAGAGCTTAGATATTTGGCATGAAACATCTTCTAGTGAATGTCTACCAAGTTTGTTCAAATAAAAGCCCTGGGATCAAAATTGACCCCGCCCCAGGGGGTCATTGATTTTCCCTTTATGCATATAGTAAAAACTTAAAAAATCTTCTTTTAAAGAACCCAAAGAGCTAGAGCTAAGATATTAAGCATGAAACATGTTCTAGTGAGTGTCTACCAAGTTTGTTCAAATAAAAGCCCTGGGGTCAAAATTGACCCCGCCCCAGGGGGTCATTGATTTTCCCTTTATGCATATAGTAAAAACTTAAAAATCTTCTTTTAAAGAACCCAAAGAGCTAGAGCTAAGATATTAAGCATGAAACATCTTCTAGTGAGTGTCTACCAAGTTTGTTCAAATAAAAGCCCTGGGGTCAAAATTGATCCCGCCCCAGGGGGTCATTGATTTTCCCTATATGCATATAGAAAAAAACTTAAAAAATCTTCTTTTAAAGAACCCAAAGAGCTAGAGCTAAGATATTTAGCATGAAACATCTGCTAATGAGTGTCTACCAAGTTTGTTCAAATAAAAGCCCTGGGGTCAAAATTGGCCCTGCCCCAGGGTGTCATTGATTTTCCCTATATGCATATTGTATATGCATATAGTAAAAACTTAAAAAATCTTCTTTTAAAGAACTCAAAGAGCTAGAGCTAAGATATTTAGCATGAAACATGTTCTAATGGGTGTCTACCAAGTATGTTCAAATAAAAGCCCTGGGGTCAAAACTGGCCCCGCCCAGGGGGGTCATTGATTTTCCTTATATGTGTATAGCAAAAACTTAAAAATCTTCTTTGAAAAAACCCAAATAGCTAGAGTTTAGATATTAAGCACGAAACATCTTTAAGTAAATATCTACAAAGTTTGTTCAAATAAAAGCCCGGGGGTCAAAACTGGCCCCGCCCCGGGGGTCATTGATTTTCTTTATATGTGTAAAGCAAAAACTTAAAATCTTCTTTGAAAAAACCCAAATAGCTAGAGTTTAGATATTAAGCATGAAACATCTTCTAGTAAGTGTCTACAAAGTTTGTTCAAATAAAAGCCCTGGGGTCAAAACTGGCCGCGGCCCCAGGGGTGTCATTGTTTTTAACTATATGTGTATAGTAAAAACTTAAAAAATCTTCTTTTAAAAAGCCCAATGAGCTAGAGCTTAGATGTTTAGCATGAAACATCTTCTTATGGGTGTCTACCAAGTTTGTGCAAATAAAAGCCCTTGGGTTAAATTGGCCCTGCAACGTTGGGGGGGGGGGGTTGGGGGGCCTATATACAGGTGAGCGACCTCAGGGCCATAATGGCCCTCTTGTTTTTTATTATTAACTAGTTTCAATTATAAATTTTTTTTAGTTTTATTTTTCAACATTTATTAAACCTATGTGGAGGGGCTCTGTTTTTAAATGTAACAGCATCAAAACACTTTTATTATGAAACAAAGTATATATATTTAACAGATTATGTTTTTTTTAACAAATTATATATAGTATGTATATTTTTAGTCTAATCAACCTTAAAAGACACTTGTTATTGATTTTTTCTACATTTTTTTCATTTTTGACAAGATCATTTTTAAAAGTACTGAATTGTTGCTGTTTTATTAACACATTTTTTATAAAATTGTTCAAAAGAAACCTGTTTTGTCATATTTTTAGTCATCTTTGCAAAAGTTAGGAATGAGGCAAATCTTTTGTATAATACAATTACCCATTTTTAGCTCACCAGAGCCGAAGGCTTAGGGTGAGCTATTAGTATCAAAGGGGGATACTCCTGCGTCCGTCGTCCGACGTCATGCGTCAACAATCGTCTTCTTCTCTGAAACTGCTGGGCAGATTTACTTCAAATTTGGTCTGTAGCATCCTTGTAACAGTCACACTTGAATTTGCTCATGTCATTTCAATTGGCTCCTTTTAGGGGTCAACAGAGCTAAAAATAGAAAAACATTTAAACATCTTCTACTACAGAACTAATTGATGGATTATCACCAAACTTTGTCTGTAGCATTCTTGGGTAGTCTTTTATCAAGTTTGCACATATTAATTTGATTGGCCCCTTTTAGGGGTATATAGGGCTAAAAATAGATAAACCTTTAGACATCGTCTTCTACAGAACTAATGGATGGATGATCACCAAACTTTGTCAAGGATTTTTGGGTAGTCTTTTATCAAGTTTGCTCATATTAATTTGATTGGTCCCTTTTAGGGGTCGCTAAAGCTAAAAATAGAAATACCTTTAAACGTCTTGTTCCACAGAACTAATTGATGGATGATTACCAAACTTTGTCTCTATCATTCTTGGATAGTCTTTTATCAAGTTTGCTCATATTAATTTGATTGGCCCCTTTTAGGGGTCGCTAAAGCTAAAAATAGAAATACCTTTTAACGTCTTGTTCTACAGAACTAATTGATGGATGATCACCAAACTTTGTCTGTAGCATTCTTATGTACGCTTTTATCAAGTTTGTTCATATTAATTTGATTGGCCCCTTCTAGGGGCCACTAAAGCCAAAAATAGAAAATTCTGTAAACATCATTTCCTACTGAATTAATTGATAGATGATCACCAAACTTTGTAGCATTATTAGGCAGTCTTTTATCAAGTTTGCTCATATTAATTTGATTGGCTCAAATTAAATATCAGAAAATATTGACAATGGATAATTTTTGAAAAGCAGTTGTTTCTGGTGAGCGACTCAGGGCCATTATGGCCCTCTTGTTAATGCTGAAGTTCGCTCTATAATGTGATAATATACTATACAGACTGACTTACCAAACAGGTTCTTATATCCTACATCTGAACTTACTACATGTATGTTACCATAAATGGTAATAGCCTATTCAATGACATAAATCAATAGGCCAAGATGGTTTACCCAGGAAATGAGATCTTACATAAACCAAAAAGTTGGGCATTCACTTAGTGAATAAGGTTTATCATAAACCAATACATTGGGCATTCACCCAGTGAATGAGGTTGAACATAAAACAAACAATTGGGCATTCACTCAGTGAACAAGTTTTAAAATAAACCAATAACTTGGACATTTACTCAGTGAATGGGGTTTAACATAAACCAATAAGTTGGGCATTCACTCAGTGAACAAGGTTTAAAATAAACCAATAAGTTGGGCATTCACTCAGTGAAAAAGGTTTAAAATAAACCAATAAGTTGGGCATTCACTCAGTGAACAAGGTTTAAAATAAACCAATAAGTTGGGCATTCACTCAGTGAAAAAGGTTTAAAATAAACCAATAAGTTGGGCATTCACCCAGTGAATGGGGTTTAACACAAACCAAAAACTTAGGCATTCATTCAGTGAATGGGGTTTAACATATACTAATAAATAGGGCATTGACCCAGTGAATGAGATACTTTTAACATAAAGCAGCAAGATGATCATTTGAAATATTTGTCGATTCCAGTGGTGCTTATCGTCTGACTTTTTCCTAAGATGCTTGTAGAGATTGTGACACATATCTATGTTAAATGTTGCCTAACAGAGTAATTTCTGCAATCATAACGGGAAAAGTAAAAGAGCTACAATGGAAAGTTATATACCATTGGAATAGGCAACTATATACCTAAAACATGGTTTTAATACCTAAAAATAAAAGATAAAACAAAAATTAGCAAACACCGTTAGCGATGAAGAAATGTTACGTAAACATTTATAATGTGATCACCCACACTTTAAAATGTACGTTACCGAAGCATAACGAAACGTCCCTGGCTTTTATGTGTTTATTAAATTGGATTAAGAAATATTCTTGTACTTTCTGTTTCGATTTCAATGTTGATTGAGGATTATAATCAATTCTGGAACATAAAGATTCCATATTTTGAACAATTTACAGGTACATTTGCTTATTGTTTTATCTGCTAGTATATTGACAGATTACATGTTATTTCAGCACCTAATAAATGGGTATTAAGTACGTGTTTTATCTGTTTGTAGATTAATAGCAATAGATTACATAATGGTATTTGAACACATTCAGGTTTTAACGTAAACACCTATTACTTCAATAGTGGCATTTACATATATTTACGACTAATAGATGGATTATAATAAAAAAGAAGTTTTAAAATACCATTGAAATGTCAACTTTACAAATCGTTAACATTTACCGTGTTCTTGATGACAAAAAAATCGGTATTCGGCATTCTACCTGTTTTGACATTTACCATACTTTTACAATTTTAACACTTTGCCACTTAGTAAGATCAGTATACACATTATCTGTGTTTGACACTGCTATCTTTGTAAGGGGGTGTCCGTGTCCGAGTGGTTAAAGGCGTTTGTCACGGTATGGATTCGAATCCCACGAGTCACTAGATTTTTTCATGTGAAGAAGCTATAGAACCTCGATGGCTCTACTTAAGTGTCCGTTCGTGCCTGAAATAATGCGTGGAGGGACGCCCGAGGTCTTCCATAACCAGTGCAGTTGGAGAGCTGCATTGTGAACTTTACAGTGGTGCTGTGACGTAAAGTCCATCACAAAAATCTTTGTTAACATCTTTCACAATTCTGTAGCGATATCTGCCACGTTTTCAGTGTAACATTGCTACCTTCCCGGTGTTAATAGTTTTTCACTTTCTCAGTGTTAACATTTACGTTTTTAGAGATTACATTTCCCCGCTTGCTCGGAAATAAGAAATGGTTATATAACGTAAACTTGACGGAAACTTGGTTCTTATTTTATCATGGAAGTTACGGATGGATTGACTGAAAAACAAGACAACTATAATTTAGTCCTAAAAATTAGGCACTAGGAAAGGATAACGTCGCCCTAGTGCAGTAACGGGTTTACTCCTATTGAATTGTATATAAGGATTTAAACCTTACTGCACTAAGGTGCCGATAAATGCTTTAAAATAGTCAAGTAAGTCAACATATGCATATATAATGACGAAACAGATACATACTTGTCTATATATTAGAAACAAGTAGGAAATAATGTTTATTTACAAAACACCATGAAGTGCATCAAATATTGCATGCATAATTATGCACATCACATTGAAAATGAAGAAGAATAACCCTGTAAGGCATATTTGACAATCAACAGCAGTTACTTCCCTTGACAAAGAGAAAAATGACCTTAACATATATTTTGCGAAGTAGCGGAGCAAAAACACCTTATTAGCGGGGCCGCGGGGCAAAGTTAAATAAAACTTCGCCCTGCGCATCCGCTATTTATCGTGTTTTCGTTCCTCGCCCGCCGTTTTATTTCTTAAATCACGCTTCACGTCCCCGCAGGGCAAAGTTTAATTTAAATATAAATTTAAAATACCTTCAACAATCAATGGTTCGGAACTTAATCATAAAATCATATTCTCTGTTCCTCATCCAAAAATAGAATCAGGCTTATATTCAATAACCATACATTAACCCATTACGCGATATACACGCCTTTTAACGCCTTTTTCACCCCCCCTTTTTTTTGGTGTCTCAAATGCTGAAAAAATGCCTTATTTAGGCCCCAAACACTTGTATTTGATTGAGAAATGTTGTTTAAAAAAGTGACCACTTTTTCGGCGCGGGCCCCAACCAAAACATACATCAGGAGGTTGCCAGAAGGGGGATGTGCCCCCTTCTATTTGGGGGTTTTGAAGGGGGCGGCAGTCCCCCTCATCGCCAAGAAAATTTCGGACTTGTGAGAGGCTAAAAATGACCCCAGATCGATCATAAGGTAACGTGTAACCAACGCTAAAAAGCATTTGATTCTATCTCAATCCATTGAGAAGTTGCAGCACTTTGAAATCAATTTTGAAGGAAAAAATCAACGCAAAATAGTGATTTTTGGCAATTTTGAGATGTCCCCCCGTTGCCATGGTAACAGGAAATTTAAGCGTGAGCATGTTGTTGCAAATGCAATGGTCCAGTCAATACTTGTGCCAAGTTTGATTAGTATTGAAGCAGTTTTTATAGTTTTATAGCAATTTGAACTTGTAACGGGAGACTTTTCAATGAAAACAGCCATTATTCACAAAATGCTCATGAAGTAATGGGTTAAAGACAATTAACTGCGCTTGAGCAAATGAATATAATTTACGCATGCGCAGTTATTACAAGGTATAGTATCATATTCACTGGCTGAATTTTCCCTATCTATTTTTAAAAATGGAATCAGACTCATTATTCAATGACAATTAAGCAAAGACTATTTTTGCTTTTTGGCATATTTCTCAATTAGAAAATCTACTTACTCCACAATAATAGGTAAAAGTTACCCGCAATGATAAGCACATTGATATTGTAACATCTTATTGTAACGTCTTAAGTACTGGTTATCAATTTAGTTTTACTATAATTTCAGGGCATTTAGAATTCAATTAAATATGTCAAAAACTATCAAAGAAATCATTTTGGAGGAATTTCTGACATGTAGTATTTGTATGGAAGAATTTCAAGAGCCGAAGGTACTAAAATGTCTTCATACATTCTGTGAAGACTGTATACAAGTCACTATACAACACCAAATTATGACGTCACATTCGGAGATTTGGTGTCCTGTATGTCGGACTAGAATTGACGTTGATTCAAATGGTGACTATAACCTTCAAACTAATTTTCCAGTAAAGAATTTACTGGGAATTATAAAGGTAATTAATCTAACGATATCTGAACTAGTAGTTTTCAAACCAACTATCCATTTTGTACGGCGGCTCAAAGGTGACATAGTGTGTTTTTATTTATCCCGTGCGCACGAGATACTATGTCGTGGCCACGAGTTACTAAGTCGCGGCCACGAGTAACAAAGTTGTGGCCGCGAGATAGCTAAGTCGTGGCAACGAGATACTATGCCGTGGCCATGAGTTACTAAGTCGTGGCCACGAGATAGCTAAGTCGTGGCAACAAAATACTATGTAGTGACCACGAGTTACTAAGTCGTGGTCACGAGATAGCTAAGTCGTGGTCACGAGATAATTAAGTCGTTGGCATGAGATACTATGTCGTGGCCACGAGTTACTAAGTCGTGGGAACGAGATAACTAAGTCGTGCGCACGAGATAAATAACCAACCAGAATACACTATATATATTATGAATTTATTAAACTTAACAACTTACTTTTACATGCAACATTAATCTTTGAAAATACTGAAGATATTCACTTTGAACTTGTCTTTAGGATCATATTAGAAAGTCACCTTCCAAGGCCCACCAGACAATAATTTTGACTATAGCAAATTGACAATTTTGTGATCGAATTGGTCAGTTTGTTCGTACTACGGCCTGTTAACCTTGTTTTTACGATAACATGATTATGATATTATTATTTCTTGATACATGTATAATGTGTTGATGGCAGTTTTATTTAATATATATTTATAGGGTTTACCGACAAATGAAATATTTGCAGGATTATACAAAGCACAAGTTGGATATAATCTCAATATGGCTCATGTTGTCGCCATTTCGGTATGTATATTTCTGAACTTCTGAAATCAACATTGTTGGTTGTACGGGGTGGCCATCCCACGTGGACTATAACATCAGAATTTCAGAAATCATCTTAAGTGACCTTGACCCTGCATATATTAAACAAATTCACAACAGTAGTCATGATAAATATGACCATTTGTGTTTCAGTCCCTCAATAAATGATGACTAAATGGTCCGAATACACATTTTCATATTTTTATCTGAACGTTGACCCCTTCATGTGACCTTGACCACAAAGACCTAAATTTTGCAATTGTGTACATTTGTGCCATGTTATATTGAAATCCCTCCATGCATGAAGAAGAAGCGTTTTTCAATGACCTCTAAGTGTGACCTTGACCTTTGACCTAGAGACCTGATTCATGTGCGCTACACGACTTCTCATAGTTATGTACATCATTAAAATTACTCTATGTGGATCGGAAATATGCTCCGGACAATATTTTGACGCCGCCCGCCCATCAGACCGTCCGCCAGGGGGAACTATGATAAGACCTAAGATCCATTTTTCAAAAGGGCGTATAAAAAGGACTAAAGCTGTGGAAAACATATACGTGTTTCTTTCCTCTGTACCCATACTCGTATATAAAGACACATTACAAACTAGCTATACATAAAAATGAAGTGTTTTTGTAGCTTAGTATTTATCGACTTTTACTTAATGGTTTATTTAGGAGGCGAATCAGTGTGTGTACCTTAAAGCTAGTGTCGACGATCTTCGCTTTGCTGTCATTGAATTACGTCGCCAGATAGAGCAGGTTAATATATTTTATATAATTAATGTATAAAAAAACCATTCAGTTTGTGTTGTAATAACCAACCAGGTACCCTCCTTTTTATTTCTTTAAAAACGTATGATGTGTTCATGCTGGTGATAGTGGGGTTTGCGGTAGTTTTACCCATGCCGATTTTTTTTTCACTCCTGCCAGATGAGTCGAGTACTCCAAAATGATGTATTTTTATCGCATTGTATGAAGTAAATTCATCCGCAACTATAAGAATATAGATAGGGCGGAAATGATAATTTAAGCAGACCTTTATCAAAATATTATTCTATATATTCATATACATACCTGTGTTCAAATATTCAACGATTTTGCTAATTTAACACGTGTTATTCTAGTACAAAACTGATTTGGAAATAGAAAGAACCATCACGGCAAAACTGTCCGCACAAATGGTAACAAAGGACAACACGATTGTCCATTTAGAAAGAGCTGTTGATGATTTAACTTCAAAGGTAGGTAGACATGTTTGTACGATAAAAATGCAGGAAATATCGCCAGATTTTGCACTGAATAATTTATCATTTTTATTTCATTTAAAAAAAAAACAATATTATTCCGATATAGCAAATATCTAGGAAAAAGTGATAATTGAAATTTTGAACAATAAAAACTGTTTTGAAATTTGAAAAGAGATAACAACCCAGGGTTCAAAAGATGAAATTCTTTACAAGTAAAAAATGCATCAATCAGAAAATCAATTGTGTCTGTTCTAAAAATAGATAAATTGAACGGTATAGCCTACTCTCAGAAGCATACCGTTTTTGTTTTGTTTTTGTTTTGTTTTTGTGTTTTTTTTTTTGTTTTATTTAATGATGCTGCACCTTTTTTTTTATTATTTTCGTATCCAGGCGCAAAAGGAAGACCCCGAGAAAACTGTGCATGATTTGGCGAAGTCATCATGTGTTGTTCAAATAGTACATAGATGCGCAACATGTATTGAAGGTTTTTGCAGATGTTTTTCCAGATTACTTCAGGTGTGTCAAAAATGTACTATTTAATTTTAATTGTTACTGTAGACAACGATTTCAGTGTTTGTGTCATTCGTCCTTAAAAATAGTTCAAATGTTCTTATTCTGCCGCTTTTTAACAAACTATTTTTTTCGGGGAGGAACAAAAGGTTCATGTTTTAGCTGATCTACTTAATTTTAAAGTAATCGCGTTAAAGCAATTTTACGTTTTTGAAATTTCATTTTGTAAATAAATGTCAAATGAATAAAGGTGACATGTTTAGTAAATAAATTAGGTACCAAAATTGAGCTATTTTTGAAGTTAAAGGGAGACCCCTGACGTTTTCTCCGATTTGTTCACCATTTGATGGTCTTGACCCATAATTTGTACGTAGAATTTCAGATTATTCGCTCAATCCTTTTTTTAAAATTAATCATTTTACTTCTTAAAAATGACTAAACACTTAAAGCTCAAACAGGAATAGCACAGAAAGATTCGAGTACATATATCTTTCTTTAATATCTTGTGCATACCTTGCCATTTTAAGTGCCAATTTTTTTCTTTCATTTTTGGACCTGAGTTGAATTCCATTAACACATATATTTAAAAAATGATACTTTTGTTTCATAACTGAAGTAATGTCGAAGGCCCTATTGTTCATTTGTAATTATATTATAAATGCAATTTAGCTGACATGCAATTGAATTCGCTCGTACATATAATTTTACAGACAAGTTTCGGCTGGCTGAAAAGAGGAAGAAATACGAAAGGAATAAAAGGCACTTAGCTCTGTTGATAGTTTTATGATAGACACGAACACGACACGCTATCAAGCAAAACATTTTTTATACATTTTTGTGCAACAAACTTGCCTTTCAATCTACAAACTGGCAATCATACTGGATATAACTTCTGAGGAAATGTCTTCTACATGTAGATGACCTCACCTACATACATGTCTATATGGAATCTTTTGAAATCTACAAAACCACTGTCCGGTTAGCTCAATACGTAGAGCGTTGGTATGTGAATCGGACGGCCCGTTTTGTTTACCGAACGGCGCAGGTCACTTTCGTTGTGATTTATCATTAAATCTTTTATCATGTCTAATATGACATTTATAGACAGATATATGCTGATAAGGTCTGCAATTTCAAGGAAAACACATTTTAAGTGATACAGATAAGTCATGGCTTTTTGTCCACCAAGCCAGATATGACAAGGATTGTAGCAAAAACCTGTTATAATATTTTAAAGCATGATATAACCAATACAGTGAACATAATGGTTAGTTTAAAATTGTATTAACATTCTAATCCAAAAGTAATTATAACATACTTCTCAGTTATTATGTAATTGTTTATCTAGCTTTTTTATACTTTTAGACGATTTTTAGAAGATTGTTCATGATAACTAATCGCTTGGATAACCACTGCCAACCAGACAAAAATAAGCAGCTGTTACACATAATATTACACATTGTATGTAAATAAAAAGTCTCATATAATTCTGAGCTAAACGGTCAGTTGTATATTTCTCAAGTCTACTTCTGTTTACTAGGCATATTTAAATATTCTGGATAGGACAGAATTAAATTTAAAAAAAAAAACATTGTTAGCAACTTTAAATAGATTGCTTTTAGTGTACATGATTAATATTTTGTTAAGAATCTTCTACACACTGGTTAAAGCTGGTGTTATGTCTTTATACATGCTTATAAGTACTAGCTATTTATGTTTTTGAGATAGACACATTTAAGTACTTTCTTAGTATAACTTTTGTTATTAAATTATTTTTAACATTGTAAAATCTGAATTAATAGCTTATAAATAAGGGAGGTACATCTGTAGGTCATATACACTTTGTCAATGTATAGAATAAATAAAAATCTTTTAATATTTTCAAGGAATGGCTATACATTTTTCATGCTCTTTTTATCTATCACGCGTGTGTAAGTTACTATATGTAGGAAGTAAATAGAATATTTCATGTTGTATTCTTTATCTATATTTTCATTGTTAACAGTATGTATGTTAAGATCTATAGCTATATTTATGTACATTAAATGTCATGTGACTATTGTATAGTATATTTAAATTGTACAAATTGTAAGATGATGTACCATGTACAAATCTTGAATAAAATTTCTGTTCTGTTCTATAATAAAATTAAGAAATAAAATAAATCTATATCATCACAAATTCACCATCGTCAGTTCTATTCATATCAATTATAACTATCAATTCTAACATCATTAATATTATCAATATTATAATACTATATCTTAAAAGGCCAAATTTGCAAAAGAGAAATGTTTGAAATATCAAATATGTAGATAATAGTAAATGTCAAATAATAATTATTTAATCGGAAGATTATTTGGCTTTTTTAAAATATAAAGCAACAACATTTATAAGATTCTGTGTTTAAAAGTACATGTGTAAGTAGAATGCATTTTATTCATTTTTTCTGGATCTAGTGTCCTTATTCAGGGTGTAGAGTGTGGTTTTTCTAATGTCCCTCTCCATAATATTTATTTGTCCTCAGATTTGGTAACTGGGCCGGTGGCTGTAGGTATAAGATCTTTCTTACCCTTTAAAGGTGTTCATTTATTGCTAGGTAATGACTTAGCTGGAGATAAGGTAGTGGTTAATCCACTTGTAACTGACACTCCTTATGTGGATCAGATACCTGACCCCATTGAGCAGGAAATTCCTGACCTTTAGCCTTCATGTGCAGTTACTCGAGCTATGGCTAAGAAGGCCATTCAAGAAGACAATTATTGTTCAGATATTGACTTAGCTGATACTTTTATAGGTCAGTCTTTTGATAATGAAATAAATTTTTCTCTCACTCCTACTCTTCCTGAAACTCAGACAGATGCTTCAATATCTGACTTTTCTACACCCAGATCTAAAGATCAAGGTCATAACACGCTGTCAAGGTCACAGCTTATCCAGGAACAACAAAATTATCCTGAGATTTCAGTCCTTTTTCAAAAGGCTTTTAGTGAAGATGAAGCTTTACAAGTCCCTGTTTGTTATTATGAAAAGAATGGGATTTTATTGAGAAAATGGCGACCGCCCGATGTCCCTGCTGAAGAGGAGTGGACTGTAAATCACCAAATTGTGGTCCCTAAATCATATCGCAAGGAAATATTAAGCTTGGCTCATGAAACACCCATGGCAGGTCATTTAGGTGTTAATAAAACCTACCATAAAATTCTCAATCATTTTTATTGGCCTGGCCTTAAAGCAGATGTATCTAGGTACTGTAAATCTTGTCATACTTGTCAGATGGTTGGAAAACCTAACCAGTCAATACCTAAAGCTCATTTACAGCCTATTCCTGCATTTGATGAACCTTTTAGTAGAGTAATTATTGACTGTGTAGGACCATTACCAAAAACTAAATCAGGTTCTCAGTACTTATTAACTATTATGTGTGCTTCTACGCGCTTCCCTGAAGCTATTCCTTTAAGAAATATTAAAGCCAAAACTATTGTCAAGGCTCTTGTGAAGTTTTTCACATTTGTTGGTTTACCTAAATCAGTACAGTCTGATCAAGGGTCAAACTTTATGTCTGGTATTTTCCAGCAGGTCATGCATGAGTTAGGAATTACTCAATATAGGTCTTCAGCCTATCACCCTGAAAGTCAAGGTGCATTAGAAAGATTTCACCAGACTCTGAAAAATATGATAAGGTCATATTGTTTTGACACTGAAAAAGACTGGGATGAAGGCATCCATTTATTGTTATTTGCTGTAAGAGAATCTGTTCAGGAATCTCTTGGCTTCAGCCCTTTTGAATTAGTATTTGGTCACACTGTCCGAGGACCCTTAAAACTTCTTAAAGAGAAATTTCTGTCTGAAGATGACATATCTTTAAATTTGCTTCAGTATGTATCTGATTTTCGAAATAGATTGACTAATGCATGTGATTTAGCTAGGGTTAATTTAAAATCGACACAAAGTAAAATGAAATCAAGGTTAATGCTCATGAAAGAAGTTTTAACCCTGGTGATAGAGTACTTGCTCTTTTACCTATACCTGGAAAACCATTACAGGCAAGATACTTTGGTCCGTATACTATTGAAAAGAAAGTCAGTGACCTTAATTATATTATTAATACTCCTGGGAGGCGAAAGCAAAAACAAATGTGTCACATAAATATGTTAAAAGAATATTTTGACAGAGATAGCAAAATTAGTAAACCTATATCTTTTGTAAACTCTGTTCCACAAAATCAATGTTCAGTTGAATCTAATAGTTATGAAAATTTTGAAAAGTCTGATCCTGGTTCAGCAAAGCTTGAAAAACTCTGATATTCTGCAAAGTCTGGATGAAAAACTTGCTCACTTAGAACCGTCAAAACGAGATGAACTGAAACAGCTTATTTATGAATATGAACACTTACTTTCCTGATATCCACACGGACTGATAAACTACATCATGACGTCATTCTTGAAAACTCTGAACCAATAAAACAACATCCATATAGAACAATCCTGTAAAAAAAAGTACCTAAGACAAGAAGTTCAGTATTTATTAGATAATGATTTATTGAACCAAGTCAAGTAATTACAGCTCTCCATGTATTCTTGTACCGAAATCAATGGAACATATAGATGTGTACAGATTATCGTAAAGTGAACTACTGTAACAAAAACTGATTCATTTCCTATACCAAGAATTGATGACTTATTGAACAAATTGGAAAAGCAAAGTATGTAACAAAGTTGCTCTTCTAAAAGGATCTGGCAAGAATTCCAGTTACATGATTAGAGCTAAAGAAATATCAGCCTTTGTAACACCAGATGGCTTATATCAATATAAAGTCATGCCATTTGGTATGAAAAACTCACCAGCAACTTTTCAGAGACTTATAAACATGGTTATATCTGGTTTACACGGATGTGACGCATACATTGATGACGCAATCATCTACTCTGATGAATGGGAGGAACATCTCAAAACTATAAGAGCATTCTTCGACCGACTTAGTGATGCTAAATTGACAGTTAATCTTGCAAAAAGTGAATTTTGTCATGCAATTTTAACATTTTTAGGACATGTAGTGGGACAGGGTAAAGTTAAACCAATAGAAGCTAAGGTCAAAGCTATCTCTGAATTTCCTGTGCCTACTTGTAAAAGACAACTGATGCGATTTCTTGGTATGGCAGGGTATTATCGTAAATTTTGTAATAATTTTTCGGTTATTGCAGAACCATTGACAAATTTGCTAAAGAAAAGAAACAAATTCAATTGGAATGACAAGTGTCAAATGGCATACTTAAGAGTGCACCAGTTCTCTTGGCACCAGATTTTAATAAAAACTTTAAGTTAGCTGTAGATGCTAGTGACATAGGTGCTGGAAGTGTATTGATCCAAGAAGACAACAATGGTGTTGACCATCCTGTTTGTTACTTTTCTAAAAAGTTTAATGAACATCAGAAAAATTACTCTACTATAGAGAAAGAGTGCCTTGCTCTTATTCTTGCTATTCAGCATTTTGAAGTTTATCTAACTTCTTCAAAGTTGCCTGTTGTTGTCTTTAGTGATCACAATCCCCTCACTTTCTTGCATAAACTTAAAAACAAAAATCAAAGGTTGTTGAGGTGGAGCTTATTTTTGCAAGAATATAGTCTTGACATTAGACACATTAAAGGGAAAGATAATTTGATCCCTGATGCACTTTCACGTGTCTAAAACTGTTATTTGCAGTATTTTAAATTTAACATTTATATGATATGATTGGTTATTTTTTTGTTGTTGTTTGCTATTGTTTGTAATACACATATATATGAATGTATAAAATTGTTTTACATTTCTCCTATGTTATTTGTAAGTTACATTGTTTGAATTTATGTAAAAGAAATATTCATTTCATTCATATTTCTTTTTCTTGAAGAGGGGAAGTGTTATGTATGCAACATATTACATGTATATAATTTATATCTGACCAGTTGGTATTTCCAATATTATCATTGTTCTATTTTTAGAACATTAACTACATGTATGTACTAGAACTTTCTTAACTGTTGTAGAAAACTCATGCATTATATTTAGATAGAAACTTCTGGAATGTTCTTTATTGTTGAAGTTGCTAGATTATGATTACTTTAGAACATAATAGACCTTTCTGGAATTTTCTTAGTTAATATATATAAAGTGACATTTTTCATTACTTTTACCCTTTTAAGTCATCAGTGATCTTTGAAGTCATCAGTTACCTTTTAAGTCATTAATATATTTGGAGTATTATTCAACTTGGATATTAAGTGATTTATTGGAGCTTGGATTATTTTAAAATAGTTAAATTTATTCTTGTGAATTTTATTGTGGGAATTTATTCTAAAGTGTTCTTGGATTTAACTGTGCTATTCAAAAAGGGATCATTCCAGGATCAGACTAGACATTAGATTTTACATTTATATTTGGACTTCAGGTATTTGTACACATAATTTGTTATTTTGATTTTCTTTATTAATTTTTATGTAATAAATTTGTTATTGTTACAAGTTTGTTGCTGGCTTTTCTTTCTCGTTACGCCTGGCTCGTAACAATATTAACGCCGTAGTACGGATTTTGTACCGTGAAAGATGGGAAATATTCATCCAAATAATTCCGATAATTTCTACTTTCGCTTTCTTTTCAGAATTTCACTAAAGTTTATCAGTTAATTGCAGCTAATTACTCAGATGTCATGAAGTAACAAATATGATAGTTTATTAACTCATCTAAACACCTCTTATTTATCATGTATTTTTTTCCCAAATATTTGCAAATATAGAAGAAAAAAAAGTTAAATTTTCCGTGGAGTTGTTTTCAAAAAATGACAATGCCCAAAATTTAACTGTACAAGATAGAACATGAAATACAAATGTGATAAATTGTAAGTGAAAAGAAAAGTGAAACAAATGACTTGATGGTTAAGAGAGATGACACACTAACTTTTAGCTGAAAGTAATGGAGAGGACCAGGTGTCATCCGTATTCTAGGGGGCGAGAAAATCAAAATGAAAGAGACAAAATGCAGGATGCTGCTGTATCAGGGTCAACAATTTGGAACTGTGTCAACAGTGTCCAGGTTAGTTTTTGTATGCATATGCAAGCTAAATATGTTTTTGCTTTGCTTTTATATTGGAAGTTTTTATTTTTTTTTATTTTTTTTATTTTTTTTGTAAATACAAATTGAATAGATCAATACATATTCATGTATATACATGTACATTGTAACTGTTCCTAGTTTAGTCTCAATATTTTGACTGCGAGTCTGACTGTTTTTACAATCTGATCTTACGTTATATGATATCAGTCTCTACAAGGGTTACACCATCGTTTCAAAAATAAAAAAGCTCTGGCGCACAATTTGTTTAGTCAAAATAATTATATAGATGTGCCAAAGCTGATTCTGATATATTTTTTTTCTTGGTCAGAATCTCCCTTCTAGAGGGGAGATATTGCCCATACACAACATAGCACAATAACTCATTGCATAGTACGTCATTTAGTTGGACTTACAATATGTTAGGCTTTTCCTAACTGAAGCACAGTTGGTGCTTAACATTATATGATCAATATAGTTCTATATAAACTTTGCTCGTGTTTCTGTTCTGATGCATCAGATCTTTAAATCAACACATTAACATGTTCTTATTACTTAAGAAATCCCAAAAAGACTGTCCAAAAGTTCTTACATGGAATCAGTATCAAAATGTTTACTCTCATTTTATAAAAAAAAAAGTTTTCACAAATGAAACTATTAAAGTATTTGGGTAATGCTTTCATTATTTTAGATGCTGTTTTCAACAATGAAGGAATCCATGCTTGACATACTCACACCTTCCTGGTTGTCAGACTTTCTGACTCGCCTCCATATATCCTCCAATATAGAGACTCAACCAGAAACCTGTTGTCCTGAGGTAAGCTCCACAATTACGCAATTCTTCAGGTTCATTTATGAAGTTTTTCTTAAAGGAGCTTCACTATGGTTAAAAAGCCCTGAACATCAAATTTGAAATTCTTGCATAGATTAAGTGAAACATTGAAAATGGAAAATCTGCAAATATATAAAGAAATATATTTGGAGTTAAATTGAAAATGAACAGTTTAAGCATCAATTTTAGCCAGGGTTGTGTGAACAGCATTGTAAGTTGCCGCAAAACAGTGAAATATTTTGACTTGTGTCGTTAGTTACGGCCACTGATTTAGTAAAAATTATCATATTTTGACATGAGATATGGTCCAGATATATTTTTGTGACAAAACTGTGGCATGTGGGGGTATTGGTATCCCTTGGATACATTTCTAGCTACATGTTAATTAATATGTTAGTTAGTTATTGAAACAATTTCAATTTGATTCACTCTCCAACTTGCAGCTCTTCTTTGTAAATTATTCAGAGTCCATTATGTCTATCATTTCACTCATATTACATGGAACAATTTCTTACATAAATTTAAAAAAATATCATTTCAGAGTGGAATGCAAGCTGTAGTTAATCAAACAGAAGACCAGCTGAGAAGAAGTGAAATATTACTTATTCAAGATGAAAAGTCAGAGTCACCTGATGATATTAATACAATAAGTGATGATAAAGGTCAGGGTCAAGGTCATTTGAGGTCACTGCTGCATCATAAGGAGGTCAAGGCAAATCACTCCTGTACAGGTAGGTTTATTATCACAGTCACAACAATTAGGATTTAACTCTGTTGAAGAAGTACCTCTAGAGGCTTGCAGAAATTATGATCACAAAATAGACAAATATCTTTTTTTTTTCACTGATTCTTACATTTTCAGAACAACAATATAGGACCTGCGATTTTAATCCAGAGGCCAGTAGCAGAGTGTGTGTTACTAGGCAACATCAGATGTGTGGTAAAATGTCTAGTGAGTTAAAAAGAAAGATTGAAATTGATAAAGAAAATAATATGTTATTGAAGAGGCAGAAAACAACAGGAGGCAGAAATGTAAGTCTGTTTTAATTTTAATATCATATACAGACTGGTTTAAACAATATTTATTTAACCTCAATTGTGAAAACCAAGGTCTTGCAACTTAATTAATCACTTTTGAATTCGCTTCCTGGAACCAGTACTGATGTCATATGAAGAAAAACATGGTCCTGACCGATAACTGGCTTGACCCCCATGATCCCTGGGTTGACAGGCAAACACCTTTACTGTTAGGCCACCACTCCCCTTATACAAGGACTGTTAACCAGTATCTTGCTGGAACCAATTAGCATTTATCACTTAGTTTAGACCCAGGCCAGCCTGAACGTTCCTATAGTTTTACCAGGCTGTTTACTGTTGGCAAACTAACACTGACTTTTTATGTTGATATTTCCAACAGTTTAAAAAAATTGAAGATGGAAATGTACATTTAAGAAATTAGCATCTTATGGGTTAAAAAGAAAATAGGGAGGTGGGACTTTTTTATAGGCCTCCATTTTATTTGAATACATGTTCCAAAATTGACACACCTATAATCAATATAGAATCTGTTCATCCAACACTTTCAGTACTGGTGAAAGCATAATTGAATCATTTTTATACAACTATCCTTTAACTTAACAAAGGATAGTTCCAAATTTATAGCAAAAAAGTCCACTTACTTTACCAAATCACCAGGGTAATATTAAAAAATATAAGGTCCTTTATTTGTTTAATGAATTTGGACTTTGAACTCCTTTTATAGATTGTTTGTTTCTGGCTTTTACACTGATTTAAATAGATAATTGATCATAGATCATAATCATTTACCTTTCCTAGATAACTAACCTGTAATTACAAGTGGTTGACTACAGTAAAAACCGGACCCTTTGAAAACCGGAATCCTCTGAAAACCGGACCATTTTAAAATTCCCGTAAATTCTCCTTATATGTTCATTGAAAAAAATCCTCTGAATACCGGAACCTCTAAATTCCGAAAATCGGACAATTTTCTATGGTTTCTAATGCTAAACATGCATAAAAAATCCTCTGAAAACCGGACAGCAATTTTAAGTGTCAACTGTCTATGTAGATTAAAACATAATCTCAACTGGTGACAAGTTCAATTACCAGTTAATGATCACCTTCTTTTTATCTCTGCAGGTGTGAAAACATTTGTCAGTGTGTGTTAATTTCTTATTGGCAATTAAATTGAAGCTCTTCCATCATAATTGTGTCTTTCCCTGTATAGGCATGGTTTTTCAAAATGTTGTAAATTTGTTGTGTGATTTTTTTAATATAAAATATCTAGCAGTATTGAGAAATTTTTGTTAAATGATTCCTGTTTTGCTTAAAATTTTGACCTTGAAGTTATCCTTGTTTGAATATTAATTAGACTATATATGCAAAATATTAATACTAAATTCCATTAATTACATATTTCAAAAGCCAATTAAAAAGATATCTTTCAGACAATATGTTGTTTTAATTTCTGATTTTCTGAACTATATACATTGAACATGGATTTGCATAATAAAATTACTTAAGACATTTATTGCAAAAAAAAATATGACCAAGAAAAAAGTGCTGAAAAGTAAATACAAAATGATTGAACAAAGTCATTGTTCAAACACATCATAATAATCAATAATGTATAAAACCTCTGAAAACCGGAATCCTCTAAAAACCAGACTTTTGGTCAAGTCCGGACAGGGTCCGGTTTTCAGAGTTTTTACTGTACTAATCCCACATGATTTCTGAATTAGCTGTGAAAGGCAAATGATCATTTGTCTCAATGTACAAGGTCAGTTGTCATACTAGATTTCTAATCCAATGCTCTACCTGAATTGTTGTGGTTGGGCCTTTATAGTTTCATATAAGCTCAGAAATTCAGGTACAAAAATTTCAGGATAACCTAAAAGTCTGTGTAAAGTCTTTATAGATTTTATGGCTGTTCTAGTTTTGCCACAGCTCGTTTAGTAGGCTACCTGTAGTTGCATTTACATCATATACATAATAATGACTTCTAACAAAATATACAGGAGAGAAATAACAAATGTATTTGATACTTTATAGCACTTTAAATTACAGTTAAACATGCGTTAAGGACCACCTGTGAATATAGATTGGCCATTGTTCAACAGCCCCTAATTGATAAAAAAAACATTGTACATTGTTACCTCTAAATAAAGCTATCCTGTCAATAAGGGCCATGTTCAGTCTCTCCCATGGATGTCCTTTATTTAGAGGTTTATCTGTAACATAACTTGGGTAGACAGACGTTTCACTATTGAGACGGTTCACACCAAGACGGTTCACACCAAGACGGTTCACTCCCAAATGGGAGTGAAACGACTTGAAGACGTTTCACTCCCTTTTTATACCAAAATTATTTTGATACTTATGATATACTTTGGTCTTTTTCAATATTTGTCATGTTTAATCATTTTTTGTGACTAAAATTCATTATTATATAAACAAAACTTATGGAGAAGTTTCTGTGTTTAAATTGGCTATTGTCAAAAAATATTTTAATGGTCCAATAAACAACTGATTAGTAAACTGTTGATACTTAGTGCAGTGTTTATACAACTGTGTCAAATAGTGGTGTCAAACTGTAGTGGATAGTCTCAGTGTTTATACAATTAATTAGGCGATGGGATAACACCACAATTACTTAGGTTTGTTTAAGGTGACAACGGAGTCAATTATCTCTGAAAATACCTAAAATGAGATTTTTTGCTAAGAAGATTTATCAACCTTTTCTGAACACATTTGTGATTTAATTTTGGAAGCAGTTAGTCCAAAAAATGTGTTTTTAAACGTTTTAAAACGGAACCTATACTATTTGTATCTGCTATTCGCGTAACCTGTCAATTATCGATAACGCTCCGCCCCCTGTTGAGGCATCAATGAGGGAAATCGGTAGTTCCATATATCCGTGAATTACAGGTCCATACTGGTCCATACTTCTCGTAATACATGTATCGTACAACTAACGTACATCTTTTATGAATATCTCAACATTTAGCCTTTTTTATAAATTAAGAAATTGTCGGCCAATGTACGTAACATAATGTATGAAACATAAATAATTAAGCATAGCGGCAAATCGCACGACCACGGGGTTGATTAAAAATGTAGTTGCTAAAATATCCATAATGTGTGAAAAATAATTTGTCTGTCCCGTTAATCTGATAGATATTACGTTGAGTTGATAGACTTTTGTACGGATTCAAGGGCTTACTTTACATTCAACCTCGTTTTCTAACAATGTCAAGTAAAACAACAACAAAAACAGACAACATTTTATATGTGAACGCCTATGTGACTTGTGGAAAGGTGTCCCTGACAAATTTCTAAACCATTTAGATTGTCTAAGGATGATTATTTCTCTATAAATAAAAAAAAAGATATTAAAATATATTCTCAGTGAAAATAAATTCTTCGCCAGTAAATCGGACACAGTACTAATAAATCTGGGACAAAGTATGAAATTTATTGTCTATCCCGGTAGAAACTGGATCTCTATGCCGTGCATAGATGATATTCATAATAGAAGTCAAGAAGGCCAGATCATAATGATCTAGTAATACCTTTTATTTCTATTAAAATATGTGAAGCATTATCAATTTGGTGGAAAAAATATATAATATCCCGTGCTTATTTGTACATCTACCATGGACTTTAAAAGACTGTCACAAGCTTAGTTTTTTTGTTATTTTATTTTATATTTTAACGGAATTTCATACACGAATACACAGGCAGAGTGATACTGGTATAATACAATAATAATGCTAATGAGAATAATAATAATAAACTTCAAAAAGGAAACAATTAAATACCCCGCTAGCGGTGCGCAAATGCGTTCCATTTCCCCCCACTGAGTGCCTCAAATTTTACCGATAGTCACGTGACATGTGAGATAGATACCAGACGATCAGTAAATCACGTTAAGAATTGAAGAAATTTCAGCTATAAACTGATATTAATCAGCAGCTTTTTAATTGGTCAGATGTCACTGGGTCATAAATGTTGTTAGAGTATGTTACCGCAACTTGTGACCCTCTCTGGTGCGATATTTGTGTATTATGCAATTATTTAGCGTGAAACGTAGGGGTCCGAGAGAGAACAGCCGATTTATGACACTTCGTTTGATGCGGGTCGGACTAACTTTGAATCGGCATAACTTCTTTAATAATCAAGCAATTAACATGCGGTTTAAAGCACATGAAAGGAAATTCATTTACGGAGGGAACCGTGTCAGGGATTTTTGTTTGCTCAATAGGCGACTTAATTATCTTTAATTACGTAATATGTATGGTGAAAAAAGTCGCATAAAATGTTTGACGTTACGTAATATTTTTTTGAGAAAAGATAGAAAAAATTTGAGACACGGTTCCCTAGATAATATAAGTATGGTTATTTTCAAAAAGTTTGATGACAAAAAATTAAAAAATGACTTTGATATGACGATTTAAAATTTTAGGATTTTTATTCAAAATCAATCATTTACAAAGGCATTTTTTTCAAATATGTTATTTTTTATGATAATCAACGACATTTAATGCACAAAGATTAAATAAATAACAATTATTACTAAAATAACTTTGTTTAAATGACATTAATGTGAGTACCACGGAAAGTGTCTGTTGTCACCTTAATGGCTACTGTTTAATAAATTGATGAAGAAAATAATTTTAAAAAATAATTTATCTTATACACATGTTTCGCATTTCATTGTTTAAGACTTACAAAAAATAATCATTATATAGTCAATATATTTAATATATTGATATTTTTTATTTTTTGAATAATATTAATTACTTTTCTGGTAGTGATTTCAATATTTAAACTGATACTTATAATATGTCTTTGTTATTCTATTTTTTTTTAAATTACTATATATAGAATTTTCTCATGTTGTTACACTTATAATAAAAGTGATATTTCAGAAATTTGTCTTTCATTTACACCTCTTATCACTCAACCCATAATTAAATGAGTAATCTTCTAATAATTTGTATTAACAATACCATTGAAATCAACAAAATGAAACATTAAAATGAATTTCCTTTTTACACTGTTTGATATTAATGAAATTAAAATTTTGTTAACTTTCCTTGTAAACATCTCTAAAAATTGGGAGTGAAACGTCCATACAATTGACAAAATGGGAGTGAAACGTCTAGGTGTGAACCGTCTTGGGAGTGAAACGTCTCAATAGTGAAACGTCTTGGGAGTGAAACGTCTGACATTCCATAACTTGTACATTTCTTTTATATTTTGATGTATGAAGTCAAGTGTGATAGAGCAGCGATGAAGGAAATGACTAGAATCTACCTCACTGATATGTACACCAGCAATAGTTCACAAGAGTTATTTTCCTTGCAAGAGGTAAGATATTTATGAAATTAGTACAGTTATAATGATTTATAAGTATTTGTATGAAAGTCAAATGACAGCTTTGGTAACATTTTGCTACCTTTATCACAAACTGTTACACTATCAGCACTAGGTATAAACATCTCACATTTTCTATATCTATTACAACAACAATATTAAGCACATGTTTGCTTTTTCTAAAGAAAGAAATAACTATTTATTTTTTAGGCATAATGTGTCTAAAGGAACTCCACTGAAATCTGAAAGTCTAAAAAAAAAACCATAAAATTTGAATTTCTTAGTAAGATCAACTTGGGCACTAATAAAACAGAAAGGCATATAAAATGAATAACTAAAATACTCGGAAATACATAAAAAATCATACTTTTTTCAACATTTTTCAAAATTAGAATAATAATAATATAATAATAATCATATTTTTGAAAAAAGCAGAGCAAGCAATTGATTGGAAATTTTCACACTGGTCTAGACCTATCTCAAAGTGATCTTGAAAAATGATTCCCCCTTTTAAAAAAACCTTTGTCAAGTCGCTTTAAGATAAATAGCAAATTTTGTGTGAAAGTGCTATGGATACAAATGTGAATATGGAATCAGATTTTAATATATCTTCAATGGAAAATGATTAATTTATTATCAAAGGCATATGATAAAAATTATTGAAGTGTTTAAAGGTTACTGTAAACAATCTATTGTATTATTGTAGAGGAAAAGTTACGATATATATATTATGTAATTATGTACAGGATATTGTGGAGAAGTTGCAAATACAAGAAAGACCAAGTCAGACAAGAGCCAGAGAGGTGTTGACAGATCTAGAATCAAGAAGAATTCTACATGCACTAAACAGAGATCACAAACCACTTTTTGTAAGCATTTATCATATAAGATTAAAACTTGTATATAGAAAATAATTCAAAATAACAAACTCAGAAATAATGAAAACTTTTAAGATTTTAAAAGGCCCATTGTGTCCAAGAAGTGCTTAATTTTCTTTTCTCAAATTTAAAGCTTACAGTTATAGGTGCAAAAATTAAACATTGGCCACTTACCTGAACTGTCTTTGCTTCCATTGCTTTTTGGTAATTCTGCAATGGTTGCATATTTTTGTATATGTTGTTTCAAAATATTCAATCCTTATTCACTTGATTTGAATCAAGGTAGCAAATATTTTAATTGACATTTGAATTGAATATTTGAATCCTTACCTGAAAAACATCCTTTAATTTGTATAAAATGAGGATCATTTTTGTTGTATTGAAGATGTTCATATATTTCCTTTCAAGTTTAAATGCCCTAACAACAGTTGGTTTACTTTTGGTATTTACAATAATTATGCTCTTATAATATATTTTAAATACAAACTTGTAAAATATTTTCATAAAATCCTGTGACACACTTTTCTCTCATTTAACATGTTTTATAGACAATCATCCCAGATCTCCAATTTGGTCCCAAAGCTCCGAAGTTAAAATACTTTGTACCGCCTTTTTCACATAAGAAAAATAAAGAGGCTGCTTCAGATGATACAAGAACAGAATCAGCTGATGTACTACCAACTACTAGCTTAGATGTAAGCCTTGTATAGTTACTGTGAATTCACTTAATTTTGTGGGCACAAAATTTTGTGGTTTTGTCACAAAGGACATTTTTCTGGGTTCTTAAATTTGTGGTTTGTCTGTATGTGTGAAAGGATTTAAAATTATGTTATGCAAAATAATCCTACAGCAGTCAAAATAAAACTTCCATGGATTTTATGCTCGTAAATTGATTTACCCATGAAGACCACGAAAGTTTGTGTCCTGCGAAAAATTGTGATTTTGCAGTAGAACATTTCTTATAATACTGCATGTTTGTATGTCAATTTTTCAGTGAACAAACCCAACATTTATAATATCCTTAAACATGACTCCTGCAGCTTTAAAGATTTTTTTTATTTCTTTTTCTCAAAGGAAAGGAGTCATGCATGCAGTTTTTATAATTTTTAGACATTTGACATTTGATATAGCCTTACTGCTTTGGTCATATAAGCTTACTAGGCATTTTGACCTTTTCAATGTCTTTTACTTTATAACTGATGATATTCTGTATTGCATATATAGTATATTACATTAACAGTATAGTATATTATAATATTGTTGTAATTCATGCTACACAACTTAATGCATTGGATATTAAATGTCACATTACACACTCTACTACATGGCATGTTATAATACATATTACACAACATATTTTATTATTGGGCATATAACACAGATTATTATATGGTATGTTATACACGTACATCAATTGACATATCACACAGCATTCAATATTACTGTATAATTGGATATTTCAGCATGTTGAAAAGTTACTGCAGATTTAAAATTTTCAGACATTTTGTTTAAGGAAGTATTAGCAATTTGTGCAAAAGGTAGAATTTTGTGACAGGTTGGTTGATATTTACGCTAGAGGAAATTTTTGGCGATTTTTGTCAATTTGCAAATTCGCCAATATTTCGGTGTCGCTAACTTAACCACTTATACAGTAAATATTACACAGCCTTTTTGCATGGCTTATCATTTGACATTTTCACATCACATAACATAGCATAATATAAATATGACACATTACACAACATATTTGATTGTACATGTTATATGGCATATGTTAGGTAAAATGTTTATTTCCAGGAAAAAAGTTGCATGTTTTGTTGATATATAAAAGTCTTACCATGATTTAAGTTATCTTCTAGTAAATGAATTTCATCTTCTGGAGAAAACAAAATACATTTTATAGAAATATGTACAGTATACTTTTTAAAAATTATATGTTATATTTCTAGTAAACTAATGAATATTGTACTTTTTTTAATAGGACATTAGTCAGTTCAGCCAGTTCAAGCCAGTACTGCCCTGTCAATCAATGCAGTCAAGTACAGGTAGTAACATTTTAGTAAATGATTTAGCCAAAGTTAACTTCACAAAGCTTGAAGTATTAGTAGTTGGTCACTTTCAAAAAAATGGGTAATTACTGGTTAGTTATCCAAGAAACCCAGTTAGGTTGACCCGCAACCAAGATAGGACCAAACAAAAATTAGCATTAACCAAACAAACAATTTTTACAAATGCACTTCAATAATGTCTACTTATAAGAATATTTTAATTTTCATCCTTATTCTTATTTAGATAAATTAAAAGTTGCATTGAAATCATATGAACACTAAGTCACTTATTCAAAGTCATATTGTAGAGATTTTCTAAATTGTGAGGATGTCATAGTAACAAAAGTCCTGAAGGCCAAATATCAGACAAGATCAAGTCTGCTCTGTAAATTCTATATCTTTTAAAGGATTTGCTTCAAGGATCTTCTTCAAACTTTGCTCAAATGTTCACTTTAGCAAGGTTATGTGCAGATTTCATGCTGCTTTTGTGCCAGCTCAAGGTCCTTGTCACTATTGAAGGTTAAATGTCACTTGTGTCAAAACTTAAAGTTAACACAGAACCCATGCCACCAATGTGCCTACTCAAGGTCACACATGAAAGTCAAATATCAGACAATTTTATGTCCACACTGCAAGTTATACATGTATTATACTTTTTGAAGGACTTTTTTTGACTGAGATGTTCACCTAAAAAATATGATGAATCCTGGGTCATAGAGGTAGTAGGGGAAAATGGTTGCTCCCATGACAGCCTTTGTTTGACATGATACTATTACAATGACAATGTGAAATCCTTTTCATTTCAGACATGTTTACAGAAACTGGAAACAAAAATAGTGCGCCTGTAGAAATCCTGTTCCCAGCTCAATCATCGTTACCATTGTCTACAGCAGCACAAAATGTTGGATCTGGAAATTCTAGAAATTCAACTCAGCCGTCAATTTCTTTGACAGCAACTGAATCAGACACTAGTTTAGCATCTGCCAAATTACATTGCCTAGCTAATTCATCTGAGCAATTTTCAACTTTTAAACCAGAGCTAGGAATAGGTACAAACCTAACTGAACAATCTAAACCAGAGTCATTATTTCTTCCAGATCAATTAACCAGTAGATTGACAGGAGATAAGTTAACAGCTGAAAAATTTCTACCAATGGTAACAGTTAAACAAGAATCTGGTATCAGCTGTTCAGGAATTCAACACATTCAACCAATGGCAACCGATATATCAGAATCTGATACCAGCAGCTCTGGATTCCAGTTGTCAATGCTGAAACAAGACCCAGGTACCAGTAGTTCAGGATTCCAGTGCCCAGCTCAACCCTCTGGGCAAGTATCAGCGTTTAAACCAGATCTGGGTACCAGCAGATGGACAGGAATTCAATCCCCAGCACAGCAGTCTCAACCCAGGCCAATTGTTAAACCAGAACCTGGTACCAGCCCTTCTGGATTCCAGTTACCAGCTCAACAATATCAATCATTGTCATCTGGTAAAAGCAAAGCCTGATACCAACAGCTCAGGATTCCAGTCACAACAAAACAATCTCAGTCATTGCCAATATTTAAACAAGAACCTAGTACCAGCCCTTCTGGGATTCCAGTTCCCTGCTCAGCCATTGATTTCAATGACTTTAACTCAAGAAAACACTGGTACCAGCAGATCAAGCTGTGACATAACTTCCTTTAAAGGTATGTCATCCATACTGTCTGTTGGACAGAATGAGACCTCATTTTCAATTAACTCTGAATCAAAAGAAAGTAACGGCTTGACAAGATGTGATTCTGGTTTTATTACGTCAGCATCATCTGCTTCAAGTACCAAGCCTGCTATTGATTCTAGTTTGACATTATCTAATGACAAAACTCCTACAGCTGTATTAAAGAAGGAAGAACCTAATCAAAGTGTTACTCAATCTTCAAACAGCATGCCTAACGTTCAGTTTGGCCATAAATCAACTCCAGTGTCAGTATCTGAACAAAATTCTGGATATGGTTTTGACAATAGAAAAGACATATCCAAGCAAAGTATTCCAACTGGACAAAACTATGGAGTAGGTGCTTCTGTTTTCAATTCCCTGGACAAAACTAGGTCATTAGATAGTTCATTCAACCATCCTGCAGATAATGTTATGGTGCAAGAAAGATTGGTATCATCCATTGCCATAGAGAGTTCTGATAAACCAAAAGATGGATCTCTTAATTTTGAACCTTCTGATAAAGATACAGTGTCATCTGTGGAGTCTAAGTCAGCTTCCACAAATTCAGTACCTGATGTTGTAATTGTAAATGATGACGGTGCTGACATTGGATCGTCATCACCTGAAATTTCATCTAGCCTACAGGAAGACAAAGGTCTTGATGATGACATGCAGTGTATTAAAGAAGACAGTAGAAATACCTCTGCTACAGATGTTTTGTCCTGTTCAATATTACCTCGGATGATGCAATTCACTTCTGAAAATGAAATATGCAATGTACCAGAGTCGAAGCCTGATGTTGATGAAAGTAATGTTTCAATTTTAGATCCTGTCATTGCAGACATACCACCAACTGTCTCAGGTAAGACAAATATAGGTAATTCATTTATTCCATTCAAAAACTGATACTTATGTTATATTTTGTAATATGAAAAAACTGTTTTACACATGCATTAGTTCTAGATAGTAAATCAAGAAGAAGAATCTACACTGGATACGTTTTAAGGTTGATGTTCACTTTTTGACTTTTATGAGTCTTCATCAGGATTATAGAATTTGAAATACATTAAGTATTTTACACAGGCGTCTATGGCCGAGTAGTTGAACTCATTGACTTCAACCTACTTGCCCCTCACAGCTATGTGTTTTAATCCTGACAGAGACTTCGGATTCTTGCATAAGAGAAAGCTATCCAGCTTACTTACGAAATGTCGGTGGTTCTACTCATATGCCCATTTGTGCCTGAAATAATGCACGGAATGGCACCTGCAGTCTTCCTCTTACAGTAAAGCAGGAAGTCACCTAAGTATGTATATTGGACTTAATATTCTCGCCGCTTAATAAGATATACTGTCACAACATGTAGAAAAATTGGATTTTCAAAAAGTGACATAATGGTCATTGTTTGTTTGTCATGTTAGCTACATATTTAAAAATTGACTAAATTTAAATATTGACTAATGAAATGGACATTGACTAATAATTGATAATGATAGGTTAGGATAAAATATAACAACTGCATAAAATATAAAAAGACTGCCCCACTCATTTTATCAATTGAACATCACAGGTACATTCTGAAGGATATTCATAAAAAGTTTTATGAGTCACATGGATTATTGATCATTTTTGTGAATACACAATTAAAAACAATTATGGCAAAACGTGTTCTGACTTTAGCCTGTACATTCACCAGATAAGCATAATGACACTTAAAACTAATTGTTTTTGCAGATGATACAGTAAAATTTGCAAAAATGGGCATGCCAGGCCCGCAGTTCAGACTTCCTGACAAGGTAAGTTTAATCTTTCTTTCAATAAGTCCTTGAATCTTTCACAGCTGGGCTCAGATTTAGCACTCACAAACTTGAAAAATGCAAGTCAAATTGAAAATAACTAGAAACTTTTTGCAAACAAAAGATAGTGTAGGAGAAACAGTATCTATTAATGAACATATAATTTGATATAACTTAAGAAAAAGAAAGGAAATTTTAACAAAAGTGTCATCTACAAAGGCAAGTGTAAACTAATATTTTCATAAAGCACCTTTTTCCTATAGTAGCGTATGGATCTACAACTTCATTCGTAATGGACAGAAGAACATCATCCTATGATTTCAATTCATTCATATAAGGCGCATAGAAATGGCGTTATGTCAAGCATGCGAGCTATCTTACACAGGGGGTGTAATACAGGCTTTTCTAGCACCAGTGTCAACAGTAAATAATCTTGTCTGATATGCTAGAAAAATATCATAAACTATTACTATATCAATTTGACTGGTTCCTTGCAGAAGAGTGATAATGGTGACCATATGAAGCTGTATGACATGGGAATGGAACCAGGCAGGAAACCATTTCTGGACTGTTTGTTTGCTTACTTGGATGAGAAGGGAACTCCAATGTCTTACATGCCCACAATCTTGAAACAACCAATAGATTTGTTCCATCTCTACATGATAGTACAGGCATTGGGTGGAATGTTAGAGGTGGGTATTGCTATTGATGAAGATATTTCTCATAAAATTCAGGTTGGATATGATATAAAATCTGATAAAAACAAGTGCAAGGAATTGTCATAAATCAAGCCTTTTATTAACACATGAAAGTTTATGGAAATAAACCCACCACAAAATGTTGGGGGGAGGGGGCTATAATGGATTCGCTTTGTAGCGTCAGCCCGTCTGTCTCCATTATCGTTTTCGCTCTATAAATCCTATACCTATTGAAGGATTTTCTTCAGACTTGGCTCAAATGTTCACCTCAACAAGGGGATGTGCTGAACCCATGTTGCTCATGTGTCAGCTCAAGGTCAAGGTCCCAATTGAAGGTCAAATATCAAACAATCAAATACTAGACAGTATGTTGTGTCCACTCTGTAAGTCCTACACTAATTAAAAAATTTTCTTCAATCTTGGCTCAAATGTTCCCCTCCACAAGGTTATGTGCAGAACCCATGTTACTTCAAACTTGGTATGCATGCTTGTTATAATGACCTGAAGTGCAGTGCATAAGAACCAGTACTCTGCACTTCTTAATTTTTGAGTTATTGCCCTTTGTTAATTTTCATACTTTATTTTTGTCCAGGTCATTTCCCCTAAAGTATAAAAGCTCTGGACTTGAAACTTCATAGGATGATAGATCTCATAAAGAAGAAGTGCAGTGCACAAGAACCGGTACTCTGCATTTCTTATTTTTTTAGTTATTGCCCTTTACTAATTTTCATACTGTATTTTTGTCTAGGCCATTTCTCCTAAAGTATAAAAGCTATGGACATGAAAATTCATAGGATGATAGATCTCATTAAGAAGAAGTGCAGTGCATAAAAACTGGTACTCTGCATTTCTTATTTTTTGAGTTATTGCCCTTTGTTAATTTTCATACTTTATTTTTGTCCAGGCCATTTCTCCTAAAGTATAAAAGCTATGGTCTTTAAACTTCATAGGATGATAGATCTCATTAAGAAGAAGTGCAGTGCATAAGAACCTGTACTCTGCATTTCTAAGTTTTTGAGTTATTGCCCTTTGTTAATTTTCATACTTTATTTTTCTCCAGGCCATTTCTCCTAAAGTATAAAAGCTATGTTCTTTAAACTTCATAGGATGATAGATATCATTAAGAAAAATGCAGTGTACAAGAACCGGTACTCTGCACTTCTTTATTTTCTTCATTTTTGTTCTGGCCATAAATTCTCCTAAACTATATTGTTCACAAGGCGACACATCCGACTCGTGTAGTTCTAGTTAAGTCTTCAAATTTACATACAATCAAATATTAGACAATATGTCGTGTCCGCTTTATAAATCCTATACTAATGGAAGAATTTTATTCAAACTTTACTTAAATGTTCACCTCAACAAGATTATGTGCAGAACCCATGTAACGTTTGTGCCAGCTTAAGGTCAAGGTCATACTTGAAGGTCAAAAATTGACTTAGAAAATGTTCTTAGATTTTAACATGTACTTGAATATTTCTGAAACTAGCCCAGGTATTTGCTTGAAACTTAAAAGATATATGAGGTGTCACAAGTAAGATATGCAGGTCAAGTTTCATAACTCTGTATTGCACTTTGACAAAGTTATGCCCTTTTTAAGTCTTTAAATTTACATACAATCAATACTAGACAATATGTCGTGTCTACTCTATAAATTCTATACTAATGGAAGGATTATCTTCAAACTTGACTCAAATGTTCATCGCAACTGGGCAATGTGCAGTACCCATCTTACCCTTGTGCCAGCTTAAGGTCACTAAAGTTATTCCCTTAACCACCTTTCCAAGTCATCTTCTGTCAAGGACATTAGGTATGAATAGCATTTAGCAATAGTTCTAGTTTTTCTTATGATGCGTAAAGGTGAAAATGATCTTACAACAATGAATGTAATATCATGAGCTTACTACTCTTTAAGGAGCTATTACTAAATAAAGGTTTGTATCAATTGGATGGTGTCAGCAGGTAAAAATTTGCTACACATAGTACCAAGGTACATTAATGTTCCATTTTTAAAGTAAAAATACTTTTTTGCCCATTTATGTATTAATTTGATGGGTTTCTTCTGCAATTTGTAAAAAATAATCATCAGATTGTTGAGTATTGATGACATATTTTTAGCTCGACTTTTTTTATTCATACTTGGACAACGGCCAGGAGAAGATTTTAAAGAAGACTTAACTGAACTTGACATGTACTTTGAAATGACCTTGATGTTGAAGATCAAATTACTGTGTTTTACAGTTTGCTTGCCACAATTGGCATTTCCTCTTTGATTGTATTCATACTTGGACATAACCAGATAAGGACATGACCGTTTATAAAAGTTTATATGAATGATGACCTTGACCTTTATTTGACCTTGTCATTAACCAGCATTGAAGAATGCAAATATGACCTTAACCTTAAAATTGACTGCCACATATCTTATTGTCAAATTGATGTGTTGAAGTATTCAAGTTTGACCTTAAGTTGTCATTGAAGGACTTGGTCAAGTTGTTAAATCCATAAATTTGTTATTATATAGTCATATATGATTCAAACTTTGAAAAGGCCACTCTAATTACCATGAACATGTTAAAAAATTCAAGTACGACCATGACGTTAAATGTTAATGTCAAATTCAATTCTGTACACAAACATATTTTTTTTTTTTGAAAACCTTCTAGTATACAATTTTCTTCTTATGATGTCTTTGCCTTTGGAAACAGAAAAAAGTCTAGCATAGCCCACTGTTGTTATTGTTTAAGTAATCAATTTAAAGCCAACAATAACTGATAATTTATTGTATTACTTGGTAGATTCAGGCAAAGAGATGGAAAGAGATTTGTGTTTTGATGAATTTCCCCGAGTCCGCAAGTGCAGCATTTACTCTCAAGAAGAATTATATGAAATTTTTGTTCGCCTTTGAATGCTGCTTTGATCGTGGTGGAATAGATCCTGCTCTAATTTTGGCGATGGAAAATCTGGAAAAGAATCAACTCAGAACATGCAGAATACGAAGAGATTTTCAAAAAACGGAAGAGTTTTCTTACCAGGTAGATGAAATAAAGAAAAATGGAATCCCTTGTATAGACATTTTAATAAATAGTTTGCTAACTAATATCTTAATCGACAAAGTTGTTTCTAATACAGAAATTAGTTTCAGGAATAATTAAACCCCTACTTATGCATAGACTATGTAATAGAAAAATGATTCAATATACATTATCAAATAAATCAGATTAAATATTTAGATCATGTTTATTCATTCAGTGGATAGATGTTAATTTTAGTATTAACTTGCTTTCCATAGTTTATAATTCTTAAATCAATGTATTGCTTTAAATGACCAAATGACATTGAATAATGTTAAAATGATATTATTGAAGCAGCATGCCTCCAGATTCATTTCCCTGGCCTAGTGGTTAAGGTCGTTGACTTCAAACCACTTGCCACTCTCCCCTGTGGGTTTGAATCCCTTCAGGGACTTTGGATTCTTTCATGTGAGGAAGCTATCCAGCTATTTTAGGGAACGTCGGTGGTTCTACTCAGGTGCCCATTTGTGCCTGAAATAATGCACGTAATGGCACCTGAGGTCTTCCGACACCAGTAAAGCTGGAACGTCTCCGTATGATCTACAATGTGTCGATGTGAATCATTCAATCAATCCAGATTCATGCTAATTTTTGTGAAAACTTTAAAAATGTATTTAAAAGTATAATATTGTGATCTTAACAAAGAAAGTAATTTACGCATGGTAAACAATACTTACAAATCCTCTTATTTTACCAAAATAGATGTCAAAATATGCAAAATTTATGTTAAGAAGTAGAAATATGGTGATAAATACTGCAAAATTAGCCATTGATCACACATAGGCCCGCATGGAAGATCGGGAAACTGAATGTGTTAGCCTCATAAAATAAAGTCGTTACTTACTTACTTACTTACTTACTTACATAACAAGTAGATTATTACTTGAATGTTTTCTACTTAAATTCTTAAAATATCAGTACATTTTCTGAGTTTTTTTATATATTTTTTAAAATATTTTGGCTCATCTGGATGCATGCAGCTTGAATGTTATTACAAAAAAGGATGTTGCTTGACAAGGCTCAGGTTTGTTGGTTTTGTACCAAATTTATCTATAAATATAATGCAAAACCAAGAAACTTTGTAATCAGATTATTTTGATCATTTGTTGGGGTATGTAAATTCAACAAATTTGCTAGTTTATAGTTTATTTTCTTTCTTATTTTTAACAGAATATTTGCAATGGAGATAGTACAGTGATACATGCTTCTGAGAAAGATATAAAGTCATCCTATAATGAAGAAACTACTGCTCCAGTAGACCATGTCTGTAGTGCTGCACTAAAGAGGAATTTGTCGCTACCAAACTATCATCTCAAAGAAGGCAGTCGGCTTCAAACAAACATTCCTACTATGTTCCATAGAAATGTTAAGAAGGAAATGTCATCAAGGAGAAAAATTAAAAGGCTTCCTGAAATTGAACGTGTATATATTGGAAATGGTGTAGCTCCTATATTTAAGGAAAGTACCATGGCACATACAAATGAAAAAGAACGTTCTAAGACTGCGGTAAAATCTCGTTCCATGACAGCATTGGATACTTTAGAAGAAATCCCCAATCTTCCAGAGCCATTGGCCCCACCATCAGTTGAACACATACCAGAATCTCTCAGTTTTAAACAAGTGTTCTGTGACATCGAAACAACGTCTTTATTTATGTACACAGAAATTGTACAAATAGCGGCAGTTTGTGGAGAGGAAGAATTTGATCAGTATATATTACCATTAAGGCAGTTCGACCCGGGATCGTCTAAAGTGACTGGATTGACATGTGATGGGAGAAATCTTTATCATCATGGAACTGCTGTACGTACTCTAGATCTTAGGTCAGCACTGGAACGATTCTTGGGTTGGCTGGATCAACTTAAACCTTGCATACTTGTTGGGCATAATTTTAAATCATTTGATTATCCAAGATTATACAAAGCTTTCAGTAAATTTCATCTCATTAATTCTTTTCATCAAATAGTTGTGGGTTTTATAGATTCCTTTCCGTTATTTAAAGCTATATATCCGAATTTAAAGAATTACAAGCAAGAAACTCTAGTCGCTGAACTTGTCAGAGAAACTTACGATGCCCACAATGCGCTGGGTGACGTAAGAAGTTTGCAAAAATTGTTCAGTGTTTCTGACCGAATCACTCCAAACTTATTATGTGAGCACAGTTTCACTGTAGCTTGGTATGTACAATATCATAACTATAAAACAAAATGTAACAAAATTGCTGAATCATTCAGCCAAATAGTCAACGAGAAAATTCTTAGTAAAACTACAATAGATAAGATCGCAGTTAGTGGCCTCGAGTTAAAGGATTTGAAACAAGTTTATAGAAAAGGGGGAACCAAGGTTGTTACAGAAGTTTTGAAAAGCAGGTTAACTTTAAGCCGGTCAACAGTTGATAAACTGATAGAGTTTTTGGCAAATAAATCAAGTGTTGATGAATATATCCCAGGGCTATAAAGCTAGATCTTATGAAACAATTTTATGAAATTTGAAATTTAAACACAAACGAATAATGAACATAAACAAAAAAAATTCGGATATAAAATATTATGCAGGCATTTTAACTTCGAACACACACCATTTGCTCTGAAGAGAATATACAACTATATTTCTTTCATACAAGCATTTTAGTAGAAGTATTCTTTTATAAAATTTTAACTATCATTTTATAGCAGATAAAGAACTTTATACACTTTAATGGTCATGGAAAGTTGGTATTTATGGTATGTCCCAAATGTCCAGCCACTGCCTTTTTAATAAACTGTACATGGTACAAAAATATTAATTAAACTACAAAAATAGTAATGAAAGTGGTGAAATTTATTGTCACTGATATTATCAATCTGACTAAAATTCAGTTCTACCTATTTCTGTTATGTTGATCTGATTACGAACATATATGTTTCGCCTCCTGATTTCGTATTTCCTGAGAAAGCTATTTTTAACCATGCAATCAAACCGGTTTTTACATAGGAATTAGAAAAAGTATCAATTTTTTTTAACATATTAACTTGCAATAATAGAGTCAATTTTTAATTGGCAAGATTGTTTTGCCAGTTTACTTTATATGGACAACGGCAAGTTTGTTCTCGAAATCGTGACAATTTCCTTCTCAGTATTGGTTTTCCCAGCATTAAAATTAGAAACCGCATCGCTTTCAAAGTTATGAAAGCTTGTCGATGATTGGCTATGTTAAAGATCACTTCGTAATTGGTCAGTTTTAGGTAATTGGTCACTTTTAGATCTAAAAGCGGAGCGTTATGTAGAGCTAATTTTAATCAGATTGCTGATATTAGTTGATTACTGATATATAGAATTCATTTATAAAACATAAATTGTACATTATAATATTATGTGCATTTATTTACTTATTTTTTTATAAAAGGAAATCATTTTAATGCAAATTTTTTTTAATTGAATGAATTTATTTTCAATTAAGTTTTGGTAATGAAATAGTCCAGAGGCATTATTTTATATTTTTTAAAAAGAATGCTTTAAAATAATGTAATCTTCTATCATTCTTCCTCAATTTTCTGCCCAGGGGTGTGTACTCAAAATATCCCTGCCTTCTTCAGAATAGGCTACACTCTTTAACATGCTTCCCCGCCTTAACTTGGTTCAAAATTACCCTACCCTATTCAGAATAGGTTACACAACTGTTACACTCTTCTTTGCCCCAACATGTTCCCTTTTGAAAATAGGCTATACCTCTCTGATATTCCTTCCCGTCTAACTTGATTCAAAATACCCTTCCCTTTTGAGAATAGGCTGTACCTCTCTGATACTCCTTCCCGCCCAACTTAATTCAAAATACCCTTCCCTTTTGAAAAAAGGCTGTACCTCTCTAATACACCTTCCCGCCAAACTTGATTCAGAAAACTCTACCCTTTTGAGAATATTCACCTCTCTGATACACTTCCACGCCCCTGAACCCTCCTTTTTATACACCCGTTTGAAAAACGGGACGTATTATGGGAACGCCCCTGGCGGGCGGCGGCGTCCAATTTTGTCCGGAGCATATCTCCTACATGTATGGAGGGATTTTAATGAAATTTCATAGAAATGTTCACCACTATGAGGAGCAGTGTCGCGCACATGAACCAGGTCATTATCAAGACTATGGCTGTGATACATATAATTTAGGTCAATATATACAAGGTCAAGGTCACTAAAGATGATGAAATATCCAGATTTTGTCCGGAGCATATCTCCTACACGCATGGAGGGATTTTAATGAAATTTCATAGAAATGTTCACCATTATGAGAAGCCATGTCACGCACATGAACTAGGTCTCTAGGTCAAAGGTCAAGGTCACACTTAGAGCTCATTGAAAAACGCTTGTCCGGAGCAAAACTTCCACATGCATAGAGAGATTTCAATATAATTTGGCACAAATGTTCACCATTGTGAGGCGGAGTGTGGCGCACAAAATTCAGGTCCCTGCAGCCAAGGTCAAGGTCACACATAGAGGTCAAAGTTTAGATAAAAATATGAAGATGTGTATAGGGACGATTTAATCATCATTTATTGAGGGATTGTAACACAAATGGTCATTATCATGACTATGGCTGTGACACATGTACTTTAGGTCAATATATGGAAGGTCAAGGTCACTAAAGATGGTGAAATATCCAGATTTTGTCTGGAGCATAATCTCCTACATGTATGGAAGAAATTTTTATAATACTTTATGGAAATGTTCATCACCATGATATGTATTGCTCCATGCATGATCCAGGTCTCCAGGTCAAAGGTCAAGGTCACACTTAGAGCTCATTGAAAAACGCTTGTCGGAGCAAAACTTCTTCTACATCATAGGGGGATTTCAATATAACTTGGCACAAATGTTTACCATTGTGAAGGCCGAATGTCGCACGCAAAATTCAGATCCCTGCCACCAAAGTCAAGGTTTACACATAGAGGTCAAAGTTCACATAAAAATTTGAAGATGTGTATAGGGACCATTTAGTCATCATTTATTGATGGATTGTAGCAACAAATGGTAACTTTCATGACTACAGGTGTGACACACATTTAATTTAGGTTAATATTTGCAAGGTCAAGGTCACTGGAGATGATTAAATATCCAGATGTTGTCCGAAGCATATTTTCTACATGCATGGAGGAATTTTAATGTTACTTTATAGAATTGTTCACCACCATGAGACGTAGTGCCCTGCACATGAACCAAGTCTCTAGGTCAAAGGTTAAGGTCACAGTTAGAGCTCATAGAAAAACGCTTGTCTGGAGCAAAAAATTCTACATGCATAGAGAGATTTCAATATAATTTGGCACAAATGTTCATCATTGTGAGGCTGAGTGCCGTGCATAAAATTCAGGTCCCTGCGACCAAGGTCAAGGTCACACATCCTGTGCATATCTTCCCTACTGATTTGCTTTAAGGTTCATTTAACAACACAGTGCCAAGAATAAAAACTTGCTTGCTAGATAACACTTATCCATAATGCCCCCATCTCCATCTAAAGCTTTCGTAAACGGGCGTATTTTGTGACTATGGCACCCTTGTTCAGAATAGGTTACTCCTTAACTTGATTCAAAATTACCCTGCCCTATTCAGAATAGGTTACAAAACTGTGTCACTCTTCTCTGCCCCAACCTGATTCAGAATTACCCTCTCAGTCTAATTTATGTTAAAATGCATTATTTCATATATACTTTAGTACTTTTATTTGCTTGTAACATAATTTTTAAGCTATTTGTTGTAATGCTATGCACTAGTTTTTGGTCCTTATTAATTTATTTAATTTTTTTATGAGAAATTATTGCAGAACAATTTTCATTTATGCTTTTATATTTACATGTTTTCCAAAGCAATCTCTGTTTGTTCTTTTTGTGCAATGATAAGTTGTCATGTTTATGTGCACGTATATTTAATTTAGTAAGTGTAGTGTAGGTAATTAAGATTTTCATTGCTGTATCTTTTAGAGAAATTTACATTGAAAATGTGTCAGAGATAAATCGTATACATGTACCGTAAATGCACAGTGCGATAATTACAGTTATCTAAGGTACACGCACTACAGTCACCACACAGTTTGATAGGATAAAGATAGAGCATGCTCGTTGATAAGCTACATATTCTCTGGGGTTTACTTATTGTGAGGCAGGTAAAGGAATTATGATAGAGATGCATGTAACATTTATTCTGGCATTTCATATTGTGACTACAGGGAAAGTGTTTTTATTTTTGCTGAATGGTGACCCCAATTTTTTTCTGTTTAAAATGTTTCTGTTATCATATTCTAACAACATGCCAAGTTTAAAGAAATTCTTTTGAACAGTTATTTTTGCCTATATGTCTATATGAAAACTCTTGAAAACGTCCTTAATTCTCTTCTACGAAACTATACAAGGCTGTAAGGTTATAGATATATTTTACATGTAGCATTACCTAGTATTTCTCAAAAGTTTTCTGGCATCATTGAGTAAAGCAATAAAAATGTATAGTTTCTTATTCAATTATTAGCTCACCAGAGCCGAAGGCTCAGGGTGAGCTATTAGTATCAAAGGGGGATGCTCCATCGTCCGTCGTCCATCGTCATGCGTCAACAATGGTCTTCTTCTCTGAAACAACTGGACAGATTTACTTCAAATTTGGTCTGTAGCATCCTTGTGACAGTCACACTTGAATTTGCTCATGTCATTCCAATTGGCCCCTTTTAGGGGTCAGCAGAGCTAAAAATAGAAAAACCTTTAAACATCTTCTTCTACAGAACTAATGATTGGATGATCATCAAACTTTGTAGCATTCTTTGGTAGTCTTTTATCAAGTTTGCTCATATTAATTTGGTTGGCCCCATTTAGGGGTCTCTAGGGCTAAAAATAGACTTAAAAATAACTTTTAAACATCTTCTTCTACAAAACTAATTGATGAATGATCACCAAACTTTGTCCGTAGCATTCTTGGGTAGTCTTTTATCAAGTTTGCTCATATAAATTTGATTCGCCCCATTTAGGGGCCGCAAAAGCTAAAAATAAAAAAAACCTTTAAACGTCTATTTCTACAGAACTAATTGATGGATGATCACCAAACTTTGTCTTTAGCATTCTTAGGAAGTCTTTTATCAAGTTTGTTAATATTTTTTTGATTAGCCAATTTTAGGGGTCTTTAGGGCTAAAAATAGAAAAACCTTTAAACATCTTCTCCTACAGAACTAATTGATGGATGATCACCAAACTTTGTCTGTACCATTCTTGGGTAGTGTTTTATCAAGTTTGCTCATATTAATTTGATTGGCCCCTTTTAGGGGCCGCTAAAGTTTAAAATAGAAAAACTGTTAAATGTCTTTTTCTAGAGAACTAATTGATGGATGATCACCAAACTTTGTCTGTAGCATTCTTAGGTAGTCTTTTATCAAGCTTGTTAATATTATTTTGATTGGCCCCTTTTAGGGGTCTCTAGGGCTAAAAATAGAAAAACCTTTAAACATCTTCTCCTACAGAACTAATTGATGGATGATCACCAAACTTTGTCTGTAGCATTCTTGGGTAGTGTTTTATCAAGTTTGCTTATATTAATTTGATTGGCCCTTTAAGGGGCCGCTAAAGCTATAAATAGAAAAACTGTTAAATGTCTATTTCTAGAGAACTAATTGATGGATGATCACCAAACTTTGTCTGTAGCATTCTTGGGTAGTCTTTTATCAAATTTGCTCATAATAATTTGATTGGCCCCTTTTAGGGGCCGCTAAAGCTAAAAATGAAAATACTGTTAAATGTATATTTCTAGAGAACTAATTGATGCATGATAACCAAACTTTGTCTGTAACATTCTTGGGTAGTCTTTTATCAAGTTTGCTAATATTATTTTGATTGACCCCTTTAAGGGGTCTCTAGGGCTAAAAATAGAAAAACCTTTAAACATGTTCTTCTACAGAACTAAGTGATAGATGATCTCCAAACTTTGTCAGTAGCATTCTCGGGTAGTGTTTTACCAAGTTTGCTCATATTAAATTGATTGGCCCCTTTTAGGGGCCGCAAAAGCTAAAAATAGAAATACCTTTAAATGTTTATTTCTACAGAACTAATTGATGGATGATCACCAAACTTTGTCAGTAGCATTCTTGGATAGTCTTTTATCAAATTTGCTCATATTCATTTGATTAGCCCCTTGTAGGGGCCGAGCCCCTTGTAGGGGCCGGTAAAGCTAAAAATAGAAATACCTTTAAATGTCTCTTTCTACAGAACTAATTGATGGAAGATCACCAAACTTTGTCTGTAGCATTCTTGGAAAGTCTTTTATCAAATTTGCTCATATTCATTTGATTAGCCCCTTGTAGGGGCCGGTAAAGCTAAAAATAGAAATACTTTTATATGTCTATTTCTACAGAACGAATGGATGGATGATCACCAAACTTTGTCTGAAGCATTCTTGGGTAGTCTTTTATCAAGTTTGCTCATATTATTTTGATTGGCCCCTTTTAGGGGCCGCTAAAATTGAAAAATGGTTATTCATTTAAATGCTATAGCTACAAAACTAATTGATGGATGATCACCAAACTTTGTCTGTAGCATTCTTGGGTAGTCTTTTATCAAGTTTGCTCATTTTAATTTGATTAGCCCCTTTTAGGGGCCGCAAAAGCTAAAAATAGAAAAATAGAAAAAACCTTTGAACATCATTTCCTACTGAAATAATTGATAGATGATCACGAAACTTTGTAGCATCCTTAAGTAGTCTTTTATCAAGTTTGCTCATATTAATTTGATTAGCCCCGTTTAAGCTAAAGCTTAAATACCCCAGGTCATGGCATTTCTTCAAATTATTGTTTAAACATGCATTCTATGCTCAAATTTAATATTAGAATATATTGACATTCAAACACTGGAAAGCAGTTGTTTCTGGTGAGCGACTCAGGGCCATCATGGCCCTCTTGTTTATTATTATTATTTATCTATAAATTATTTATTTAATTTTATCAAGCGAGTGAAAAACGTATTCTTAGGTCATTTGTTACTGTAATTACTATGGTATATAAGCATGTTGTTTTCATTGTTGGTCATTTGTAATGGAAACGACTTAATATTTTTACTGTTTTGTAGGTCACTTATTAATATAAATTGTAGTTAAGTCCATCTGTATCTTTTCATGACTGTATAATTGTGTAGATAAAAATGTCAAAATTTCTATTATTTATGAAGGTTCAATGCCTTTGTGATTTTATTCCACAAGTTTATTCATATACGTGTTACTTTGGGGTTGTTTTTGTGCTTTTTTCTCATCAGTCAAATATTCAAGTGCCTTTATTTCTTAAAATTTATTAATGTGTTATTTAGTATTTAATTATTGTTTTCAATAAGTTAACTTATATTCATATTTTATAGATAAATTGTTACTGTTTTTGTACTATTTAACAATCAAAATGGTAATTTTATATGATGCCATGTTAGTTGCAATCAATGTTTTTCGTAAAAAATTGACTGTAATTTTTTGTAATTTTTGTATCTGAAATTGATTGAAGCAGCATGACTCCTTTTTCATGCTAATTTTCATCGATTTTTTAGCTCACCTTGCACATAGTGCAGATGACCCATAATTTGCGTCCGTCGTCTGGCGTCCTTCCACATTTTATTCAAACAACATCTTCTATGATACCACAATGCCAATGTTAACGAAACTTGGCA